CCATGTAGCTCTAGGGGCGGCAGGAAGGGAGGCAGCGCAACTTTGACTGCGCAACTCCGCGGTCAACGCAGGATCCTCCTTTGCAGGGGCGCCTGCCTCCGGGTCCGGGCGAACCTTTCCCGTCGGATCGTAGAGGGCACGTGGTAGGCCCGTAGTAGCGACCGGTGGCAACATAACAGTTGCGGAGCTAGAGTGGCGCACCTGTGACGACACGAAAGGCTGCAATCTCCCCAGCAGAGTCGTGTTAACAGTATCCGAAGCGATGGAATAAAGGTAGAACGCCCCCGGCACAGCGGCCACAAGCGATTCCGCGGAGTCGGTTTGGCCTCGACACACAGTCGCAGGCGGGTCGAAATACACGTGCTCCCCTATTAAAGACCGATGGTGAGTGGAACGGAGCGCACTTTTTTGGGAGGAGGCACGCCCACCCCCTTGTGCTCTCGAAGAAGGTGGAGACCAAAACGTGGCGGTGCAGTAAACTCCAGCAGTCCGAAGACTGGGCGATCGGTGTCAATCACCGGATAGAACGGGCGTGCCGTGATGGATCGGCCACTAGGTCCGCTGTGCTCAAAGTCCACACCCCGTAGGAGTAGCTGGACCGGGTAGCCGTCCTTGCCGCAATGTGCAGCGACCGCTGTAGCATCACAGAGCGGCGGAATGCGGTTCACCGACCACCGTTCATAGAATTCACGGGCAGTCTCCTTATCCTCGCGCTGCGGGTTTTGGAGTCCAAGCCGAGCTAGCCCGTAGGCCTGGTAGAGCTCCTCCCAGAGGACGTGGGTGTGATGGAGGGAGGCATGGAGCTCTAAAGCGGCAACGATGCCCCACCAATGGGAAGGGGAGGCAATGATCAATGGGCCAGTGGGCCGCGTACTGCCTGCCGTGAGACGTTGGTGGGCGTCCTCTCCAGACATGGTAAAGCGCCCAGCCTTGTCAATAAGGCAGATGTCAACCGCACCCGTGGTTCCAGCACACACTGTGGTGGTGAAGAGGTCAACAAAGGCGCCCAATTCATTGTGATGGTTATAAAAGAAGGTGAAAAGGGATGCGGCCTGCTCCACAGTGGCTAGCTGTCCCGGGGGAGGGAGCTCCGGCAACCATTCCGCAATGAACTCAGCAAAGGAGGTGCCCTCTGCAGCAACCCTGTGTGCGGCACCAGTGTCGGCATTGGCCGGGCACGCGTTGCTGAGGCCGAGGCCATGCTTCAGGGAGTCAAAAACCCTGGTGGTCGGCGTGACGACAGTTATTTTCCGTCCTGCCTGAACAGCAAACCGATGTCCGCACGCATTGTAAGCCAGGACCAACAGGACACAAAACCATTCCACCAAGCTCCCTTGTTGTGTGGCCGAAGACGCCTGCTTCGGCAGCCGAACGAAGTACACTCCCGGCTGATGAGAGCCATCGGCCGCGATTCGTTGCAGTCTCCGCGCGGGGGTGTCCGCCGCCAATTCTCCAATCGTAATCGGACAGGGAGAGGATTCAGAGGCCTCGCGCAAGACATTGGATTGCGGATACCTGACGGCGGTGATAAGCAGGTACAGATCGGCGAGCAATCGAGTGGATGCGACCAGGGCTAAGTTCAAGCAAACCCAGTTGATAGGGGCCAGGCCTTCAGCTTGCATAGCTGTATTGGCCGGCGCAAGTATTGCGCCGACTGCCGACAGACGGCTGAGGTAGCATAGGATCGCTTCGCTATGGGACGCAGACTGGTGGAGGAAATCCACCGCAAGAGCAGCCGGCGTGAGGCGACCGGGGTGTGGGCACACCCGATCTCCCACCCTCGTGATACCGGAATAAGGGATGAAGTAGGTAAGCCCTTGTCGGGTAACCCGGCAGCCGCGGAGGTCCCGAAGGTCTGAGTCGAGGCCAACCTCTACTTCACCTTCAACTCCAAAAAGACACTCCGACAACTCCCGGCATACTGTGAGGCTGGTGCCCGGGGGTGGCTCAGCGCCCTGATGGCCATTGTGGCGGTGTCCAAGGCTAGACCACTGAACTGTGTGCAGCGGCCCATCCGGGGAGGTAGAGTGTACCAAGCCACGCAGTGCATCGGCTAGCCGCCCCGGGGAAACGGGTTGCAATTCCACGGATGCCAACAGGCTTGGCGATGAGGCGGGCCAGCGTGCGCAGTTGCACCTCACCTTTGCCACCTCCAGCGGGCTGTCGGGGGTTACCTGTGCGAATGACAAGCTGGCACTCTGCATTGGCCAGAATGGCAGCTGAGGAAGGCTGCCCCTCCTGTTGCCCCTCGTCGATCACAATGACGTGCGCATTGTTGAGGAGATTCTTCACTTCACTGTATAGGAGGCATAGCGGAGCTGAAGCGCGGCTGACCCCTGTGTGAGCAGTAGCATGTGGGCGCTACTGACCGAAGGGGAAGCATGACGCGCACTGTGCCCCTTCACCCCCGGCTAGATCGTGGCGATGTCCCCAAGCCCTGCCGCCTTGTGCTCAGCTGCTTCGGTGAAGGGCACATGGTCGAAGCACGTGTCGATCATTTCAGCATCGCCAGAGACCCTCCGTACGACTACGAGCGGGCGTAACCATTCCGGGGCATCAGCCAACAGTTGGAAGCGATACGCACGACTGCGATGAGCGCAGAATGCTGCTGAGCTGTCCAAAACACAGTTTGCTCCAACACAGCGTCCATGCAGACCAGTGCACACCACAGGGAGAAGGTTTTGGAGGAGCCCGCGCAGCCCAAAATACCAAGCGAGCTGCGTTTGGTGGCGCGGGCGGCCAGGATGGCCGAGATGTGCCCAATAAGAAGGCCGTCCGGACTGGCGAGCAACTCAGCGATGTGTCGACAAAAAGTCTGTCCCATAAGGGCGGCTAGGGTGTGCAACTCAGGCGGGATCAAAGTCGCAGGCAAACGCCAGTCTTTGCTGAAAGCATCCCGGTGATTAGAGCGCTCGGCCACCGGATGGAGGGCGAGGATGCTTTTCCTGAGTGCGACAAACTGGGCCGGTGTTAAGTCAGGGGGAGCTGGGAAGTGAGGAGCTTGGGCGGCTGCCTCCACGGCTTGCAGGAAAGATAGCACAAGGTGTGCCTCAACATGGAATCTAGGACCCACAAACCGTTCCGGTGCTGGCTGCGGGCGTGGCGGTGGGACGTAGCGAAGGCTTCTTGGTGTTGGCCGAACTAAAGGCTGACGGACTGGATGGCTGAGTCCCAGAAGGCTGCCACGCCAGCTGGGTCGAGGCCCCGGCGGTTGGTGGAGCCCGCCTTTGCTGAGGGCCAGCGGGAACCGCGGTCGCCTGGGCAGAGTCGAAGGAATCGGCACTTGCAAGGAGCGGGGTCTGATAAGGCTGGGCCGGGCGTAGTGTCGGTGGCAAGGCTGGAGGGGGCAAGCCCGGGCGCGCTTTGTGCACCGACTGCAAGGGCAGGAGTACGTGTTTGTCTGATCCTGGCGGTTTAGGGCTCACTGTTGAAGCGAAGGCAGAAGAGTCTTTCCGAAAGCGTCGGACCACTGTGGCTCGTTCTTGCCTCGATGACATAGGGCTCTCTCGGCTGGGGCTCCTGCTGCGATCTGGCTGGGAACCTGTAGGCTGATCGTCGTCCGGGTGGAGAAGCCCCGATAGCACCCAGAGTGGAGCAGGGAGGGATCTTCCTGTTCGCTGAGCATCGCTGCGAAGGCTGTTGACCGGGCTCCATGATTGCTAATGTCTTCCGGATCTGTGTCTGGATCCATGATCGGCATGTGCGGGGCGGGAGTCCCAGATGACGGCTAGTCCAAAAGGCTTGGCTGGGCGGTGAGGGCCGGAGTACGTGGTGGCTGCTTCCTGCGCTGTCTCTGGCGCCGAGGCCTTGGGCTTGGGCGGCGGGGATTGCTGCACTGCGCCGGCGGCTTCCAGTTCTGGGGCGCTTTTGCTGCGGTGGCTTCTCCGAGGGCTGCGGCTGAGAAGGCTTGGAGGGAGGGGGAACGGCCTTATAACCGGCGGGGGATCGGCTTTGGCGTGAGGCATGGGGGAACTGTCGGGCTGGCTGGGCGGCGCATTGGGGTAGGACGGGAAAAAGCTGGCAGGAGGGCTGAGCGGAAACTTGTCGGAGGTCAAGTAGGGTCCGGAATTCCTGGCCACCCCCAGATCGGGGCGCTTGATGAGCTGCCAAAGCTCGTGGCGGTTGATCGGCTTGGACTGGGCCTCGGGATCAAAGAACAGCAGTGGGAAAGGCTGCTGGTGTGTGGCTGCTGTGACGACGGCTGACATGTCGATGAGCTGCCCCATCATAGAATAAAGGCCCGCCTGTGGTGTGGCATGAAAGGCTGTAGAGGAAGAAGGCTCCTCCATAGGGAGGTACTCTCCGTCGGCCTCAATGGGCTGCTCTGTAACTGCAGCTGTTTTGGCGTCCGCTGCAGGTACTGAAGGCTGGGAAGGCCGAGCCGCTTCGGTCTGGGAAGGCTGGGCCGTGTCGGCTTCGTCAAGGTCCTCCACGTCCTGAGGCGGGACGTAGTCAAAACAAGCTGGAATAGGGCCTGTATAACATCCGTCTTGTGCATGGTAGAAGGCTTCCTGGTTCTGGTAGACAAGAAGGCTACGTGGGGATAGGCTGGAAGAACTATCGCAAGGCCGAGCATCATCCTGTACGGCTGTGTCGGCTGCCGTCTGCGCCGAGGCGGAATGCAAGGCTTTGAGCTTGGCTAACTCATCTGGGGCCAACGTCTTCAGCCAGTCGGCGAAGGCATCGTGGTCAGACGCCATGGCTGAGGCTGACGCTGAAGCTCCCATAGGCGCTGTGATCGAAAATGCTCTGGGGAGTGTCCATGCTCGTCGCTCAGGAAAGCAGACTGCATCGTGAGGCAATTGCACGCAGGAGTCCTGTGAGCTTCGAGCGGCTGGAGGGCATGTGACCTGGCCCATGGCATGGAGGGCAGCAAGTGCTTGTGAATGAAAAACCCGGCGAGACCTGGGTAGGGCAAGGATGGCGAAAGCCGCATCAGTATGCAAATGCCAATGCTGCATATGTCTTTTGTCAAGGCATGCAAGGCGGGCTTCGGAAGGCTATGCTTCTGGGTCTCCTTCGGAGTCCAGTAAGGCTGAGGGTCCCTGATACTGGCATGCATCCACGGCTGCCTCCGTGAAGTAGACGGCTATAGTAGGGAAGGGGTCAGGAGCAACCCGGCTACCCTGGCGTAAGTCTGGTCCAGGCGGATCCTGACGGCGTCTATCTTGGCACTGATAAAGACCCAGGGCGAAAGAAGGCAGAAGGCGCGGTTGTTCATGGGCTCGGCGGCTATGGTGCCACAAGGCTTGCTGTGCCCCACGGCGGTCGGCTTCTAAGATGCCGATGCGAGCTTCCATGGATCGAAGGCGTTCTGCAAGGGACTGCACTGTCGGCTCTTCAGTGGGGGCTCTTGGCTGAAGTCCTGGGTAGAAGGCTGTGGCTGCAATGCGTCGTAGGCGGAGCTTGTATCAGGGTCGAAGGCTAGGGGGCCAGACAAACCTGCATTCATACGGCCCATGGCCGAGAGGTTGGTCATATTGGCAGTCGGCTGGCCCTGATTCCATTGGAGGGCAGGGCTATTTGCATAGGAAGGCCAAGGAGAGCGCTGAGCACGCTGATCCTGGCGGCGGGGTTGCTGGTGCCCCCTCATGATGTCTCAGCCGAAAGAGCTACATAGGCAAGCTGCGGCCGGCTGCGTGCAATGAAGGCAAGGCCCGGGCTGGCGGCGATTGCAAAGATCAGGTAGAACCTGAAAAATCTGCTGAGTCGGGCTGACCGTCGAATGATGAGGCACTGAAGGCAGGTGATGCAGAGGGCGGGACGGAGGGCTGTTGACCTGAAGACAGGAAGGGCTGTTTGATTTGAAAGCATGAAGGACAACGAAGACCTGCCCTGACTAGCATCTTGGCACAGGCTCGAATCGGCTTGGGAGGCTGAGGTGCTGGCCGAGGTTCAAAGAAACCTGGGGGGGCAGCACGGAGGAGAAGGGCCAACTGCAGGAAAGGGCTCATGGAAGGCTTAAGGAACCGGCTGGGCTTAACTGGCTTTCGAGTAGGCTTGTGCTGACTGAGGCTGCAACGGCCGACACGCTGAAGATGCCTAAGAGAGAGCAAGGCATAGGCTCCCATGTGCTGAACGCGCAAAGGACCCGCCGGCTGAGGCCCGGGATGTAAGGCGTAAGAGCCGTGTCACCCACGGGCCTTGGATATGCGTTCTGCTACGTAGTCGTGGCATGCCTTATTTAGAAGGCACAAGGCAGCAACTTCTCGGCTAGAGCTTGCGAACAGAAGTATATTGGCACAGGGCGCGACTCCGAAGAGAAGGCCCTCAAGGCTCCAGCCAAGAAAAGGCTCACGTAGGTCCTTGGTAGGGAACCAAAGCACCTTGTAGAGAGGCGGCTGAAGGAGCCAAAGAAGCGGTACCTTAAAGGGGCTCCAAGGCAACGGATGGCGATAACGCAAGCCTGGCACAGCTGAATCAAGGCTTGAGTCCTGTGAACTCGCTGACCTGGTGGAAGGTGGCGGGCTATGAGGGGCTAGCCATACACTGCCTGACCCCTGGCTGGCTGCATCTGAAGCCTGAGGGGAAAGGGCAAAACGCTCGAAATATGCGGGGGGGAGAAAATGGTAGCTTTGGTATCCTCCCCCCAAAGGCAACTGAGCAGGCTGTGCTGAGCCCGAGGGAGGCATCTAGGGCACCGACAGCAGACCTGGGCCGGGCAGTCAGTCAGAAATATCCAAGTGCGACACAATGTACTCATGCGTTTCCTGAGAAAGCAGGGCTAAAGGCAACCAAGAAGGCCCACCTGCAAATAACAAGATGCGCGGCCCGACGGTACCTGAGAGCAAAAGGTCCTGCAGGCAAGAGCTGTGAGGCTGTCCCATGAAACCTGGAAGTGGCAAGGCATCTAGGAGGCCTGGCCAATGCCACTGATACGGCAAAATTCGCAAAGGCAGAAAATATGGGTCAGTCTGAGGCAAGGCCATGGCTGAGGTCCCGGCGGCTACCTGAGTGGCAAGAGAGCTCAAAAGAGCATCTCAACCATGAGCTGATGGCACTCGTCGTTGGCTAGAACTAAGGGAGCCATTCATGCACTTCCAGGCAAATGAGAATACGAGGGCAAACTGTCCAGGAAAAAAGGAATTCCTGGAGGCAGGGCTCCAAAGGCTGGCCCTCATGCGGCTGCAAGGCAAAGCACTCGGTGAATGTAATCACATACCAATTCCAATCATGCAAGGCGAGTCTGGCTGGGGCAAAGGCAAAATCCGGGGGGCGAATCCACCGCGGAGGCAAAGGCGGAGGCCTGGGCAAAGGCGGGGCTTGATCAAGCTCCCACTGCAACAAGGTGAGGGGCACAACTACATGTGCCGGCAACATGGCTGCGCTCTAAGGCAGAGACAGGTAGGCTACAGGGCAGTAGCTACGGCTAAATCTCGCTTTTCGAGAAGACTCAAGTGCTAGAGCCAGTGCTGCGATGTGCTACAGATTCAAACGCCTTCTAAAACATACGTGAACAAAAACACGAAACGCTGCTCTGCTTTTGCAAGCTCTCCTTGTGCACTTCCTTCCGGCTTACCTCTGGGTCCAGAAGGAACACTTCGTAGTAGAAAGTCCTCTTTTCGGACTGGGTCTTGCAGTTCTCCCACTGGCCGCGAAGGTTCGCTCCCTTTCCTGCCTTCTTCAGGCTGCCCAGCTGGTAGCGAAGGTCCTTCCAAGCCTCCCTGGAAGGAGGCGGGTGGGCCTTGGCCTTTGCCTTTGCAGGCTGCCCTGCCTTGGCAGGCGGCGGTGTAGGTGTTGCCTTCCCGGCTTCGGGCCGGGAGAGCTTGGCTCTCCCGGCGAGGCCTTGGCCGGAGAGTTTGCCTTTGCAGGCTTCGGCTTCTTCGGCGGTGTCTCGGGCTCCTTCTTCACAGCAGCGGGCCTTTTCTTGGGGGCCATTGCCCTAGATCCTAAAGCTTAAGCTATTTGCTAGCTGTGCATGATGATGCTGTCGCTACCTTATATCAAAACGGAGCTCCGACCAGAGGCCTCGGCATCCTAAGGTTGTTAGCTAATTTAAACTTGGCTTGTTCAGCCTACGGGACCAAAGTGCTTTAACTCAAGCTGTGCATGTTTTTTTTGTTTCTGGGCTTCTCGAGCCTGGTACATCATGCACACACATGCACAGATTTAGTGTTTGAAAAACTCTAAAAAGTTTTAGCCTATTTTTTTAGATGGTTTAGGATTTGTGGTTTTAAATGGGTTTAGGGTTTCGGCCTAGGGTTTCAGGGTTTTAACATTTTTAACATAGCGATCAGGGTTCAGGGGGTTTGCTTTTAGAGATTATAGGGTTCAGGTGTTAGTTTTGGGGCTTTGGGTTTTTAGGGTGTGGGTGTTGGTGGTGATGGTGGTGGTGGTGGTAATGGTTCAGATTCCTCAAAAGGAAATTCAGCTCGCAATCATGAGCTTCACATCACCAGTGACCCGAAGTATCTAGTAAAGCTCAAGGAAGAACTCAAGCTTGCTAGCAAAGCCTCGAAGCCAACTCCGTGCACCCAAGGCGACTAGTGACTAGTGATACATTATGTTTTTCTGCAGCTGCTTCATTTAGAAGCGAGAGTGCAATGATCACAACTGCTTCCTTTCGCGTGTGGCGATTGTCCTTCCTGGCTGCAGTCCCGGGAAGATACTCTGGACTTATCTCTTGGAGATGGACCTTGCCTCCATTCTCAGGGAGGAGAAGGTCCATGCAGACATCGCGAAGCCTTTGGCCCAGTCTCTGACGATTCATTCTTTTGCATGTATTGCAGCTTCCCCCGATCTCTTGGAGGACTCCATTCGAAAAGAAAAGCGGGAGGCAAAGGAGGCAAACGCAAGCAGCAGGGCAAGTCCAAAGGCAAGGACAATGGGCAAGGCCCGAAATGGTGCATAGAATTTATGAAAGCGGGCAAGAAGCATTACATTTGCAAGCGATTCAACTTGCGATCGGGGTGCAATTTGGAAAACTGTTCCTTTGTGCATTGCTGTGCGGTGGATGCGGGGCCAACCCTGTGGTGAGGATCACCCTGCATTATGTCATGCTGCAAGCATTGTCATGCTACAGGCTTGGTGACTTTGCATTACAGGTCATAGTCTACAAAACTTTTTGCTCCCACCCACCCACCCGGGAGGGGACTCTGGAGTCGGCACCCCAATGGCTTGCACTGCGGCTTGCCAGATTTCAACAGCGCTGCGAGTCAGGACCAGTCAACAAAGTGAGAACCGCCATGGACTGGTGCACAGAACTGCTGCTTCCTGAGTTCACCGAAGGTCTGGAAGTTAGGCATGTTCGTTACCGTGTCTGCGCTTTTGCTGTGCACCTAGGAGAGAGTGTCACGTCTGGGCACTACAGAGCTCTGTTGTACAATGCGATCACAGGGAAGCTGCATTACTGCGACGATAACGCGAGAGCTGTTTTCTTTAAAGACTTCGGCAGGGTTTCGAGGGACGTTTATGCTGTTTTCTTAGCTCGCTCGCATTAGCAGTGTGCACGGGGCTTTCTTTAGGGGCAACATGTAAACACATGTTCTTCGCTTGCGAACCGGAGAGTGCTACCAACTGCGCTCTAGTCTTGCCACCATGAGTGGCCGCTCTTCTGTAGAGGAGTGAAGTCCTTCTCACACGACGCACCGTTGTGGAGTCCGAAAGAAAAAGAAACCCGGGAGGGGAAGTAGCTTGTCAGTGCATCACGGTTGTGCTCCTAAAGCTTCCTCTTGTCGTGGCGGTGCCAGCTTGTAGAGCAACCGTGCTCGTGTCAGCTTGTGAGCAACTGTGCTCCTTGTGTGGCAGACTCTTTGCCCCTTAGAGGTAAGCAGCACTCTCGTCGAGAATGAGCAAAACTCACACGTCCCTGCGTCACCACGAGGAAAGTTGGAGTCCGCTGAGTGCTTTCGACTTGAAGTTGGGTTCAGTCCGCTGAGTCCTTTAAACTTGTGGTTTAGCTGAAGCTTGGGGTGAACCTGCGTGCCCTCTCACCCTAACCGCTGCAGTTTTGGCCCGAGGCGGCAAAAGTTCTGAGCAGTTAAAAAGAAAAGAGAGGGAGGGCGGAAGACCAGCAAAAGTTTTTCTTTTGTTGGTCTCACATCGCCAATGCGGGGAAAGTTTTTCGTCTTACAAAAGCATGCGATAAAGGTGGAGCTGAAAAGGTCGGGTAAGGGACAGCGAACGCAAAACCAAGTCGCACAGACTTTGAGACCACGACAATGACAAGAAGCACTACGACGTTTCAATGACCAAAGTAAAGTCGGTGATGCGATAAGTCGCAACACAAAGCAAGAGGACTGAAGTCCAAATGCTACGACTACAACGGCAGCCGCGACCTCGCGAAAAAGTGAGTGTGAACTTGCTTAGTGCGTAGTTGCTTTAGCTGTGAAGTCAACGACCGATATGTTTCACACAGTTTTCCTTACAGGACACGAAGGGACTACATCCACGACAAGCCAAAGGAAAGAAGAAGATGGTTAAATTGAAGAAGAAGCTCAAAGGAGCATGGAAAAATGAAAGAAGTGCTCGAAGGAGCATGTGATAAAGGGGGACGAAGTAGTTGAATGTTTGAAGATCGAGTCAAGTCGAAGATCGACTTGAATCGAAGAGGGCGTAACAAGCATTTCAATTTCCTGTGTATGCCCAATGTAGCATGTTTCACTGCGTGTTCTCCGTAGGTCTTACCACGGCTCAAGACGTAGGAGTCAGCGGGAAAATGAGGGAAGCCCGTGCCGTGTGTTACAAGGGATTCAGAAGTGACGTTGGTGAAGGTTTTAAACTTTCAAGCTCGCAGTGGAAGCTGTTTGCCTGCCTGTGAAAAACGCAGAGCAAGTCTCTTTTCACTCCACGCTTGAGCCAAACACCGAAGTGTTCAGCAAGGTCTCTTGCGGAGTCTCGCGCAGCAAATTCCGTCTCAACTTTGCTAAACAAAGGAGGAATGACATGCAACTGTCCTAACACTTCTCAGGACTTCTGTACTCACTCAAACAGCAGTGCACAGCCACTCTGTCCCTTGGCCTGTTCCTACCGGCACGAGCGAAGCGAGGGTCGGCGGAAAACAGCAACAGTGCAGTCAGAGCAACACGCACTTCTTCAAGGATGCCCAAAAGCATCTCTAGTGCTGTAAACGCTCATCATGGTCTTCAACGCGACTGCAAACATGCCAAAACATGTGTTAGCCATGCAAATGTCTGTTCAAGCTTCCAAAACAAAACAGTTCAAGGCAAAAAGGATGAAACCCTTTCTCATGCGCAAAACAAGCATGTCGGTACTCAAGGGCACACCTAAAAGGAGCAAACTTTTCTTCCCGTGCGGACAGCAGATGCCGCGGCCGATGGCCGCCTTCCGTAAACGAACCTAGAAACTGTACAGATCAACAGCACAAAACTCTACACTACGCGACATCCGCATCGCAAGCGGGGACTGCACCACTACGGGAGTCCCACCAGCTCTCCCAAGGAAAGAAGGTGGGACTGTGGCACACAAGAGCGTAAGAGCAGCGCTGGACCATGCACCAAAGCTCAGAGGTGACCAGCATGGGCATCCAGGGAGCACAGCAAGCCTTGCAAGCTTACAAGGCCACCAAAACAGACCAACAAGCCTGTTAGGTCTTGCTGTTGCACGCTTGAGCTAGCTGGACCACGAAGCAGGCGGGTGGGAGCCGACAAATTCAACGGGCATGCACGGCAAGCCACCTCGCAATTTCAAACCTTACAAGGACGCCAGCACCAGTGTAACACGAGACTGGTGTGAAGAGGTCAAGTAGCCCTGCATACAAGCAGAGCTGTGCAGCTTAAGGCCCTGTTGTTGCCAGGATGGCAACTTGTGCAAGAGAGTTCGACGAAAACCAGCAGCAGCAGCCTATGTACACTGTCTACACCTAACAAACTACCGCCGACTGTACACAGCGCCACAAGTGATCGCATGAACACGCCAAGTGCCCACGCCATCACCTGTGAATTTCCAGCGTAGTTTTTGACAAGTTTCGGACCAGAAAACCAAAACCGTGCCCAGCACAGGTAGCAGCTGAAGGCAGTGAGGTGGCCTTAAGAAGAAGTGCACATATTCATCAAACCACCGGGTGATACCCGACTGCTGCTCACCATGGGATCGCATGCAAGGACAGTGCCAGCAACGGCAGCAGCTGCAGTGGCCAAGGCCACATACACGTGACCACGTAACAAGAGTTACACATACCCCCATTTTTATTGCAAACCAAGCGCCTAGCAGGCTCAAGTGGAAGGCAGCGCTAATGCAGCCAGCAAGGCGCAAAAGCGGCACATCTCAACCACGATGCTCACGTAAAGGGCAACTTGGCTTGTTTTGGCGAAGGTTTGGATTTGCCTGAGCTGTTGGGCTTCGCCACCATGATGTGGCAAGATGTTATCCAAAGGCCATTACAAAACTCCCAGATGTTCTGTTGTTAAGGCCCGAAGTGGGTAATGCATATTCATCAACCAGGCAAGGAAGCATGCGATCACAACCCAACCACCGGCGGAACTAGCCTAAACCTAAAACCCTAAGGCATAACAGGCGGGTGCAGCCAACAGCGCACACCGAGCATGTGACCTGTAGGGCAGCAATTGAACATGCGGAAAGGTAGCCTACATCAGATGAAAGCCATGGCGAGCGTTGTTGCAGCCATCAGTCGCATGACCGTCGTGGACCGCCAGATGACACGGGTGCAGCCAGCAAGCGCACTCCAGCTTCCACCAGACATGTTTGAGGTTGCTTTTTTTTTTTTTTTGGGAAACCCTAGCCCAACCCTCGAAACAGCCCGAGAAGCTCACCGAAACGACAAACGGGTCTGTTTGGAGGTGTCCTTAGACTTGGCTTTGGGCTTGCACTTAGGTTTGGGCTTAGGTTGGGCAGAGCAGGGGAAAACAGAACTGCCACCGCCTTGCTGCACAACCTCCGCAGGATTTGACTCTTTGGCCTCAAAGGATTCCTCAATGGACCGGCTCGTATCAGCTTCAACCTGGGCCATGGAACGCACTCTCGTTTGGGCGTTAAGTTTACGCCCGAGCCCTTTGCAAGTGGACTTCATGACCGACGACGACGAGGTGGCACCAAGTTTAACCATGGCAAGACACTTGGAGCACATAAAGAAAGAACCCTTATTAACCATGTCATGACTGCCATGTATGCCCCAGCAGGCGGGAACCGGGGCAGCTCTGTCACGACAAGGATTGGACATTTTGCGATCAAAAACCTCGGGAGGGTTACACTGCTCCACATAAAGCTGGCAAACGGTGCACTGGATCGCAAAATTGTTGCTGGCTTTGGCCTCACAATCCTTCCAAACATGACCCAGCCCAGGGTCCGGGTTGGCGAGAGCCTCCTTAAGGCGTTGTTTTTTGTTGGGTTTGGGCTGACTGCTGGGCTTGGACCCGCCTTTGGGCTTACCAAACTTACCCTGGGAAATGATCGAGGGCTTAGCATCCTGGGGCGAAGGCTGGGAGTTGAGGCACCTATCAAAAACCCAAGGGAAACCCTTATCTTTTTTGTGCTTGAGGACAAAGCCAATTTTCTTAGCCAGGTGCAGGCAAATTTCTTCACAGAGCCCATCAAGAACAGGAAGATTCGGCTTAGTCGCTGATTGGAACACTTGCGCAGCCCTTTTGCCACATAAAGAATCAACATCCTCGTTCAGCAAACGCCGCCATTCAGGGATGCCTTTTTCAGCATAATAGGAAGAGTCTTTATGACTGGGCACCCAAGTGATATTAGCCCTTGACCTGTCACCCCAAATTTCACCCCAAGGGACCGGGCCTTCAAGGGGCGGCATGTTTTTCCGTAGAATGTGTGTGATTGCCTGACAGTCCACCGTCAAGTCGAAAGCACCGGAGACACGACCAAAGAGCTCAAAGGCAGCCTGTTGTTCCGCACTGGCCACCGACAGGGGCTCTTCGGGAAAGCACGTGATGCTAGCAACACGCTTCGGCCCCTCCGGTGCAAGCTCATATGCCGCAATGGCCCAAGCAACACATGCCGCGCGGTGGTCACGGGCACCTGGTCCACCCGACGCATCTGAAGCAAAAACAAGATTATCACTATTAAGGACCCGTCGGCTGCTCCACAAACCCTCACAAACCAAACCCTTCTGCGTATCCGTACCTCCCAGCGACGTGGCACGCTGTGGCAACAAACCGCGCAACCAAAGACATGGCCACGGGAAACTGCGGCGGGAGGCCGGGAAATGCGGTGGTTCAGGATACTTAGAAACAAGATAAGGGCAGTCCCACAGAACATGCTGCAAGCTGAGAGGACAGGCACACAGTTTACAGTACCCGGGCTTATTCTGACCTAAAAGTGCTCCTTGCCACAGGGCTTGCAAACTAGTCACCATACTCTTATTGAAGAATTTGCGCTTAAGCAAGCGGTGAGGGACCTTCAAGTCGACTCCAGAGGCTAAGGATTCACAGGCTTCCAGATGAGATATACGAAGCAGCCTAGCGGCCTCCCACTTAGGCAAAAGCCAATGCCACACCCGACGGGTGGCGTCAACACTGGCCCAATCAATGATAAGGAGACACTCGCCGCACGTCCAACGGTGGGACTGGGGCGCTTGCACACCTAAATCCATCAAGTATGCCAAAGTGGCCGCCAAGGGCCCATTGACGCGCTTCCAAGGTTGGGGCGACTCTGAAAGCCAAGCCCAAATGTTGGCCCAAGTCGATCTGAATTTCTCCGGGTCCGAGATCTGCCAACGACAGAAAACCCTGGCAACCGCTCGAAAATGCTGCTTCAAAATGGTGAGGTGCGGGTCCTCACACTTGTGACGCAACAAAAGGAAAGAGACATCAAGCGAACCTAACTTTTGGCGGCCGATGGCCTTGGCACAAAGAGTCCTGTACCACTTACGCCGCTTAGGACTGACGCCTGCAGCCTGATGCCCCCAAAGACCTGCAGAGCATATGGAGGCCCGGGTAATGCGCACTTTATGTGAAAAGTTGGCAAGGCCCAACTTGCGAAGTTTAGACGCCCTGCCACTGGCCTTAGCTCGCCTCATCTCAGCTAAACCCAAAACCCTGCGGCGTGCACCCCCCGATGTGACACCTAAGTCCCTGGCAAAGGTGCGGACTTCAGGGTCTGTGTCAACTCTGACAGCCTGCAAGCATTTAGCCGCTTTAGAGGACGATGCAACAAAAGAAGTCTTATCCAATGACAACTTGGCACCAGTTGCCTCGATGCTGGTACGCAGGCTGCGAAACAGCAGCACAGCGTCTGAGGCAATCTGCTTGGCCGAGGCACCGACACAGTCAAGGGACAGATCATCTATCCATACGTCCAAATTGGATGTCGCACGCTTGGAAGTGGCCGCAACTGCAATGGGGTGCACAACAAGTTTGCTGATAGACGGGGCGGCCGGGCACCCAGCCAGGACCCCCTTCGTGGGAGTAATGGCCGGGCACAAAGACCCTTCAGATTGAAGAAAACGCGGGCCCATGTACGTAAGAAGAGCCTGGTGCAATACCAGGGGAGGGTACCCCAAAGAAAGGCCAGAAGAAATGACATCATTAAAACGGCATCTATCATAGAAAGTCTCCATATCAATGAAAATTGTAACTAAGTGCTGACCGGACTGTCTAGCCGCCTCGCCTCTAAGTAAGCGTCCCAAAGCGACGTCCAGCACTTGACTCCCCGGCATTGCCTTATCCCAGACCGCGGCTTTACAGTACTGGAATTGCCAATCGGAGACCAATTTCCACCTCATGCGCACCCAAGTGCGGTAAAGCACGTGCAAAAGTGCTATTGGTCTCTCCCGCTTCTCGCTTTTTGGGAGGAGGGCTATAAGTGCAAACACCATCTGGGCAGGCCAAGTGGCCTCAGTTTCACAGTGGTGAAGAAATGAAATGATGGATGCAACAGCCGGTCGCTGCAAAAAATTAACATCTCAAATGTCCACCCGTCTAGACCTGGTGCCTTGCTGGGCACTCGCTTGAACGCCGCAACCGCCTGATCTAGGGGAATCGGCCCAAGCTCCTTGGCCTGCATTCGGGCACGTTGCCTGAGATCACTGAGGAGCGCCGGGTCGACCCCACCCGGCGCGGACCAAAGCTCAAACCACTGCCTCCACCTAAGGTAGATGCGCTCCTGCACAGGCTGGTGCAAGAAAGGGCGCAGCTGGACAGCTTCATCCGCTTTAACACTGGTAAAAAGGCCACGCAAGCCTTTACACGAAGCCTGCTTTAGCCACTTACCGTAGCTTGCGCTCTGCTTCTGCATCCACAATTTGGAATGGTGACGAAATTGTTGCTCCGATACCTGAATCAACTCTGGAAAAGCCGAGGGCGTAGCACCTTTAAGAACAGCATCAAGCTGGACTTGGAAAACACTGAGCTCGGCTGTGGATCCGTGCCACATCAATTCAAGCTGCGACCAAAATGTGTGGCCAAAGGGTGCAGGACAACTCCGCTTCGCCGAAAGTTCCAGCCAAACAAGGACCCGCTTCCAGAAAGAGGCCTGAGCCCCCCCCCAAGCACCCACAGGTGAGGTATGGCGCAGGAGTTTGTCACGGCGAAATTTGGGCAGGCAGCCTCGACCTTGAGTGCAGCCATAGACCGATAACTCAACAGAGCTACTGAGCTGCTCAAAGGTATGTGTGAGGGCCGGCTCAGGTATGGAGCCACCCCAGTGCCCGGCACAGGCAGACTCCAGATCAGGCTGAGGGCCAGAGCAACCTGCAAAAGGAGGCTCGAAGGGTTGCGGCATAATGGGCTTCGGCTTGAAACCCACAAGCTGGGGAAACCTCAACTCGCACTGCCTCCTGTCAATGCACCAATGTAAGGCAGCATGTGGAGCAAACGGAGTGATCCAGTCAGCCCGGACCGAAACTCCCAAGGCCAGCCCTTTGGAAACTAAACCAAAATCAATGTTACCACCCCCTGTGCACGTGGAAGCCCCCGTGTGGACCCATTGGCCCCGAGCTTCCTGCGCCAAACTGGTGGTCACCAGAACACTGATGTCTTCGTTGAAGTCGCCTGCAACAAGAAATTCACCTTGCAGCGACCTAAGGAAGGGAATCAAATTGGAAAGAATTATGGCATTAGTCGGGCCCCGGAAACCCTCCCCTGTCTTCAAGTAAACATTGACGAGGAAGATATCAACACCCCGGATGCGCAGAACAACAGACTGAAAACCAACACCTTGGTGAAGGAAGTGGTGGCTTTTACGGACATCAAGGTGCTTCTTAAACACAATCGCAAGGCCTCCTGAGTTACCACCTCCCCCAGTGGGGTGACCTGGCAAGCTGAAGGCCTGATAGCCAAAGGCCCCAACATGAGTGGCCAGCAAATCCCCTTGCTCCTCCTTAATGTGTGTTTCCTGTACCAGCCAGAGGTCTGGCCTGATCCCCGCAAGAAAGGTTGCTAAGGACTTGCGCCACTTGGTGACATTGGAGCTGACTAACAGCAATTTCTTTCCGTCGGCATTGGATTCAAGATTTGCGATGACATCCCTGATAGCCGAGGCTGCAACGTGCCAAGGAACATCATCACCGGCTTCAACAGCAAGCTCAGCAGCAAACCAGGGAAAGGTATCTTCAAGAATATATTGGCCCGCCTCTAGGGCCTCCACAGCTTGAAGCACTTGCACATGACACATATGCTCCAGCCCTTGCAGCAAGCTGGCCCAAAGGGCCGAAACCCCTGGATCACCAGACTGAGCGAGAGCACTGCCCGACCAAGTTGAATGCACAAGCACCTGGTCAGCCTGAGTGCAGCCTGCAGGGCGCACAGCAACGCCTGGTTGGGACAGCGTATGGCTTTGGTCACCAGCCTCAGGGCACGCTGGAACCGGATCATCATGAAAGTTCGGGCCACACCCGGAATTCTCAGACAACGGGATGTATTGCTCCCTCCAGGGTCCTCGGCCAGCGGCCGCACCTCCTCCTGCGGGCCAATCCTCCGCCTGTGTGATATACCCACCTCCTGGACCCTGGAGGGAAACTCTTTTAAGGGAAGCAATCCCAAAATTCCGACCTCCAGGACCCTCGCCCAGCGGGCACACCTCCTCCTGAACGAAACCACCACCACCATAATAACCACCCTCCTCCTGGGCCCTGGGGGCATTCATGGCATCAAGATTGGTAGCCGCGCAACCCAAAGGATGCTGCTCCCCCAGGAGCAGCATCCCAGCAATCAAAATTGGGGTTAGGGTCCCAAGACTGGGAGACACACGGGGTAGGGAACGGAAATGAAAATTCATGGCCAGCTTGCGACCTGTAGCCGTCAACTTCAACCAAATCTGCATGGACCGAAGCAACTGCACAAGGGTCAAGCAAATCACCACCGTGAGAAATCGGATCAGAAAAGGTCCCTGAACCCTCAAGCACGTGTCGCAATCGGCGGTTGAGGCGCCGGCGGGCCCGTCTGGATGCAGGGGCTTTCCGATTCGTGGAAGGCCCATACGAGAATGCTCTGATACATGTAGGCCTCACAGTTGCGAGCTCCCGCGAACCATACACCTCGCCCTGTTCATCACACTCCTGAGCAGCACTGGCAGGAAAGAAACGTGGACCTGACAAGTCAGCGGATATGTGAGGCCGGCCCTCGGTGCTGGTGGGGCGGTCCGCCCAGCGACACAAACACCCTGGGCAGTAGCAGAGAACATCACTGACAGCCGTGGCAAGGTCCTCACATGGACGGTGTAACATGACCTGGCTGCTGGCTGAAAGAAAACTCCTAATCCAAGGAAAATCCTGCTGACCAAGCACTGCATTCTGGCCACAACTCAAACAAGGAGGCCACCCTTGCACAAGCTCTTCAAGCTCCGATGCATATCCACTCGCGAAGGCCAAATTGGGGTTAAGGAAAACTCCCGAAGGCGCACACGGGTTCGGGCTAGAAATGGGCCTGGACTCAAGGGTGCCTTCATGCCTCCGGGCGGAAGCACAAGCACTCCAGCACAGTGGCAAAGTGGGCGGCCTGTGGCGGAAGACCCTGGCCGGCACTCTGTAATCAAGGATCCTGGGCACAGGTTGGCCTGAAAGCGCACAAGATTCAAGAAAAAAGCCACGGCGACAATGAAAACTCTCACTCTGACTCGGCATGCAGTGCTGGCACAAAGCTGGCTCGGGAGGCCTAGGGACAAAGGGGGGCACTGACATAGGCGTATGGCAGCATGCACAACACAAGTCCTGACATGCAAGCTGCATCGCCCCTTCTTTCAAGCCCGAATTTCGAACCGAAGACCTAGCAACCCAACCTTGCGCAACCGAAGGCTCTGCCGAGAATGAGTGCGCAGCAAAATGAGGAGTAGCACAGCTTCTAGCCGACGCCACCTGAAAGCAAGGATTACAAACGCACATGCTGCTGGACCCAACGTGGAAACTCACACTTCGTGAGGACGCCAGGGGCGCAACACAGAGCGAACATGTTGTGTTGACAGCGGTCTGCTGGTTTTGCAAAATCTGAGGAGCGGTGCGGGTCTGGGGCCAACAAGGAAAAGCAGGAGCCTCAGGCACATGCAAGTCACTTCCCAAGGAACTCGTAACCCTTACCCAGGAAGAGAACCCCGGAATCCTCCTAAAATCCCCGGAACCCAGACCCTCACCTGCATCCTACAGATCCTCCTTCTCAGCGGCAGCCTCTTGCGTCTTTCTTGGCGACCTGGATCTGGTGCCACGCTGTCCGTTCTGCGCTGGCTCAGATTTCTTGGGCACCTCTTGCGTGTTGGGTGCTGCGGCCTTAAGGTCAAAAGCCTGGCTGTCAGGGGGTCCATGTGTGCCGGCACGCACTGCGGCAATCTTTGCTTCCTGCTCTTCAGTCAAGGAAATCCCAAACTTCTCAAGAAACTGCGCAATTTCGCCGTTCAAAGATTCATCTTGGGCCAGGACTTTGGTGGTAAGCTCCTCGCCCGCATCTGCAACCTGTTGCTGCGCCTCTTCAATTTTGGTCTGCAACTGTTTCATCTCGGTCAGTCTTGCGTTGTATTGCTCCTTAGCTTGGTCGATACGCTTCTGCAAGCTAATCTTCTTGTCTCCAAGCAATTTCAGTGCAACCGTGGCCTTACGAAAAGCTGCATTTGCTGCGGTTCCAACTTCATAAGAGGTGGGAGCCGGAGTTTGCTCCGGCGGCTTGAGGCCTGCCTTGAGCATGAGCTCTTTCTGCTGCTCCGTGGCTTCAGACCACAGCTTCTGCTTAGCCTCGCAGGCCTCAGATGCATCCATGTCAACATCAAAATCGCCGAGACCCGGAGGCGGGACAACCGCTGCCGCGGATGGAGGCCTCCACCCAGCTTCTTCGATCGCCAGTCGGGCTTCGGGAGTCAACTTCTCCCACACTGTGTGCAAAGCGAGTGCCGCCTTGCCGGGCTTTCGCTCCTTACTCTGCCTGGGCGGCCTAAATGAGGTCTCAGATGCCTCATCACCGCTCTGCACAAACCTAACCTTAGGCTTTGCCTGTCGAGGCCACGCTGCACCACAAACTGCACAACACGGGTGGGCTGAAATGCGATCAGCATACAGCCAGCTCTCTTTGCACTTCCTGCACACGACATACGGCCGGAAGCGCGACATGTCGCACTGACTTGCACCAGTCCTTGTGCTTCTGCTGCCGTCCTTCAAGAAAACTGTACGCAAGAAAGTTTGGCAACAAAGGGCGTTTTTGCAAGCAAGGCCCTCAAAACAAACTTTTCCAAGAAAATCAAGCGATCTGTGCAAGCAAGATGTTTCAAGGGTTGCAAGTTGCGGTGGTGTTCAAGAAAAGTGGCGCACAGAGCGCCTGACAGTCTACGGCTCCCTCCCAGCCCTTGCCGGCTAATCCGGCCTACGACCTCTACGAGGTTACGTTTGGGGTCCTGTTTGAGAGCTCTAGAATGCAGGCCTCAAGGCTGGCCACGTCGGCACCTCAAGTTTGAGCACTTGAGCCAGCTTGAGCCAGGCTTGAGCCAAAGGGCTACGGGGAGCAAACTTTTCTCAGTCTTGCGCACAGAGTCGCGGCCCGTGAGGGCAGGTCTGAAAGCTGTACTCTGACAGCCAAAGAAGCAGCTTCCTTGTGTTAAGGAGCGCTCAGGCTAGGTCCTACTCTCTAAGACCCCCGACCTCCCAGTTCATGCTGGTGAGGTACGCGGAGGGAACTACTTCAGGTCCTAACACAGGTCCTACCTCCCGGTCCCTGCCAGTGAGGTTGAAGAAGCAGCTCACTCAGCCTGTAGGCCCTTTCCCTCCCACCATTAGGGAGGTTCTAGGAAGCCAGTCCCTCCCAGGAGAACCAAGACCAGCAAGGGCCGCTTTCTCCAGGGTGGGCCAGACCCCCTAGTTGTGGAGAGCTTTTGGTGAGCTGGCCGTGCCCCGCTGCTCGGTAGGGAGGAGAACCCCCCAAGGCTTGGAGCAGAGAACCTAAGACTCACGAGCTTGGGTTGGACGCTGGGCGGCAACTGAGGTGGCCCTTGCGTTCTCGCTCTTACTAACAAGGGCCAGAGCACCCATGCCGCAGCAGCTCTGGGCACTCGGCTACCTCTGCCAACCAACTCCACCCCAGTAACGGGCAGTGGAAGCAAACTGCCTTGGCTAAAAGGCTCGAGCAGCAGAGTGACCACAGGCCCCCTGTCTGCCGAGAGAAACCTCAACTCGGAGGGATCCGCCGCGAGGCTCTGCACGATCCGCGCCAAACAACAGAGCTGTGCAGGCGGTGTTTGCACTGAAAGGCGAGGCCCAAACACGGCCAGGCCAAAACTGAGAGGGTCTATGCAGAGACAGTGAGCGCGCACTGCCTTCTGCACTGCGGTTGGGTACTGGCCCCCGGCGCGGGCCTGTTCACGCTCACAAGGCGGCCTTAGCCAACCGTCCACCCTCGGCAGCTGAAACCAAAACCAAAGCGAAAAAATCAGCCGGCACTAAACCCTCTCAATGAGCGCGAGGGCAAACGCACCCCTTACTATGCACAAACGCGCAGGAGTCGACGCTCCCCTCAACAAGCGCGGGGACGACGCCGCACCAGCTGACCCATCACCCTTGCTCGGGCTGCAGCTCAGGCAGGACCCACGGTCTGGACAGGCCTGGGAACCTGCTGCCAATAAAGAAGCAAGCGCTTAGCCGCACTTGCCATGCCACCCTGAAAAGGAGTGGACTAAGGAAAATCCCAAGTACTTGGCTCAGCTCGACGCCAAGCACAGGGACGCAAGAGCCCGCAGTAACTCCTGCAAATGTGACACCTGCCCGCAGACAGGTTCGGCCCAACCATGCTTGAAGGCGTACTGCAAGGCCCTCAAGCGGATGACCGAGGCTAAGGGAGCTAAAAGGGAAGATCACCTCGAGGCTGGTGAGATGATCTTCCTGCATGTCCAGAATGCAAGCTCCTGTATTGGCGGCTCACTGCAAGGCCCACCGCCGCCCTAAAAACACCCTAAACCCTACCAAAGCCGCCAAGGGAAACCACCTGGAGGAGCCTCCACCACCTTGGTGGTCCTCACGCTTGCCGTCACTTACCCACACCACACATGTAGGCAATCCTAACCTTCTCGTTGCTTGTCGGTACAGACCTGCCTCCATCTGTTCTCCTGCCCAGGTAGGCATGGTCCCAGGAGTGCACTGCATGCATGGCCGCACGTAGTGAAAGCAAACGACTAACACAGCTGACTCTGGTCTCTTGCAGTAAGTCCAGGGGCACCAACTTGCTCAAGTTTGCCTGGGGTGAGCTCGCAGCGTAGACTGCTCACCAGCTTGGCCTGGCCCTGGGTGCTTAGTGTCCCTGCACCAAGGAAAACCCTCCAAAAGCCGTGGCTTTGACCGTGAAGACAGAAGGGCGAGCACCCCAAACTTGAGCCACACTGTCCCCCCTCGTAGGGTGGGTCCGCGTCTGGCGTTGCTCTACCACCCACCACAGGGGGACGTACCCCCTTGGCGCGGTGGACAGTTCCCCCGAGGGCCGAGCCCTTTCCGGTGGGAGCTGGCAAGTCCCTTGGGTGGACGTCGTGAGGTGGATTGGTCCCCCGAGGGCTGAACCCTTACCGGTGGGAACAGGCAAGTGGGAGTGATGGCCCGAAGAAGCACAGCTACAAAGCCTGGGATTCACCTGTTTGGGGTCTCTTCAGCACACAGTTAGAGCCCAGGACTGTTTGCAGACAACTACTTCTCCGACCACTGCGGTCACTCGAGCCAGACCTTGAGCCAGGAGCAAACTTTTCACACCCCCTCATGCCCGAGAGTCCTCTTCACTTCTCCTCAAAAGTCTTCTTCGGGTTCTTCAAGAGAGCGAATCCTAAACCCGCTGGATACACACCTGACTCAGGAAGAGGAAGGTAGTAGTGGCCGTGTCCCTCAGAGCACTGAGACGAAAGTCCCCACACAAACTCTGTGCGGTTAGACACAAACCACCATCTTTTCCAAGGTCGTTGGTCACCCTTTTCAAAGCAACAACGATCCACAAGGCAACCCTGATCCAAACGAAGCTTCTTAGAAACCCTCTTAAACACAGTCTCATCCCACAGTCCTGACCTCTCAGGCCACTCGTGAGAAAGCAGAAGGTTCGGGGAGCCCACGTAAGGCTCCAACAGCTTCTCGATCCTTTTCCAGGACCTTTTGTGAACGGCCAGAGCCGCTCTCCACTTCTCCAGGGCTTTTCCTCCCTTCTTAAACCTCAGGTGCCTTAAACCACACCCAGCAGAGCACGGAGTAGACAGGTGAGCATACACCTTGACCCCACCTTCAGCTACGACTCCGACAACTTCTCTCAGAAGACACAAGCCATTATAGCTCAGAAGATCAACCTCCTTAGTCACCCCAAAGTAGGCGATCTCGGGGACCTTCGAGCAGGCTTTGGACAACGCGCTTCCTTCTTCACAACACAGTTCAACCACTACGTACTTAGCTTCACCGCGAGCTAGCTTCAACGCAGCGGCTTTCCAGGAAGGCGGAACAGACGGAGTAAAACGTTCGTTTTCATTGGGCTCTTCAAAAGACACGTGCACCTCAGTAGGCTCACTCTCCCAGGCCTTCGGTTCATCTACAAGGCCAGAGGCATCGTACAAGCTAGCCAAACTTTCGTTAGTAGGGCTCTTCGTGAGGGCGTCCGCAGGGTTTATCACTCCGGGTATGTGTTCTATGGTAAAACGACCCCTGGCCACCAGCTCCTGAAGGAATGCGGCACGAAGTTCGATGTGCCTCACTTTCCTCAGGAGGGTCTGCATCTTAGATATACAAACCGCCGATTCGGAATCAGAATATCCCTTAAGAACATAATAACCGGTTTCCCTGTCTTTCGGCATACCCTCGCGGATGGTCTCCACAAGCAAAGCAATGTACAACCCTTCACGAGCAACCTCTGTGAGTGCAGCGAGTTCAGCTTCCGCACTGGAGAGTGCGGTAGTCGTTTGTTTCCTGCTGAAGCTTTTCAGGGAACAGTTCTCCCACGTGATGATTCCGCCGCTTACCGAATTCAGACTCCAGCTCGCGTCCGTAAAACAAGATACAGAGGCAGGGTCCGCATCATCTTCCAAGATCTCCCTTTTGCTCGGAAACCTCTGGACCTTGTGCGGAAGACCCTTGACCCAACGAAGGACATCCCTCATACAGGTCTCGGCAGCCTCGTCAGGAGCTGCTTGGTGGCGGCCCAGAAACCCACACACAAACTGCAGGTCTGGTCGTGATAAAGCCGCCCAGGCCAAACGGCCCAGAGTCCTTCTGTACCTTTCGTGAGCAGCTGGACTGATCGGCTCAGTCTGGCCTTTCTTCAGCAACTCAGCATAGCGGCGTTCAAGGGAAGGGAGCTTTGGTGCAGGTTTGGTGATTCCGTACTCCTCGCAACAGGAACTCAGGTACTGTTCGTCTAGCCCGAAATACACCGTACGTTCCCCTTTCTTACGGCGAAAGATCCGCCGACCGAGAAACGAGACTTCCCCGGGGCAATCTTGAATCAACTCGCCCGTAAGTTTCAGTTTGTATCTTTTACGCAACTCCTCGTAGAACCGGCGCCCCTCAGCTTCATCTTCACTATAGATCAGCAAGTCATCCACATAAAACAACACAATCGTCAAACCCTTCCTCGTAAGACGACGGAATATAGTGGGATCCAAACTTGCTTCGAAGTTCTGAGAGCGCAAGTATTCAGCCAACTCGCAATACCAAGATAATGGAGCAGAGCGCAATCCGTTCATCGCTTTCCGCAATTTGACGAAAACTCGTTCCCCAGTCCCCTGGGTGCTCACATTATTCGGCAACTCTACGAATTCTGCCCTCGCTACGGGAGCATGCATGAACGCTACCGAGACATCGCAGGACAACACACTGCCACGTCGGCAGAGCATTGATAGAAGCAATCTCAGACCCTCCAATGAAGTAGTAGGAGAGTAGATTCCCTCACTCAAGGTGGTGCCTCCCATAGAGGCATAATCCCGCACGACTAGCCTAGATCTATACAGTCCCTTCTTCTTGACCGTGTTGACCCACAAGCTAGTCAAAACTCGCCTGCCGTTTTCCTTAGCAAGACGGCGAGCTTCGCGCTCAGGGATCACTTCCCCAACCTTAAAGGACTCCAACTCTTCCAACTCAAGCTTCATTGATGCGTAAAGGAGGTCGGGTTCTAGCTTCTCTCCCGAAGTCTCAGAAACAGCGTCCTGGGGAACAGCACACCTTATCTTCGTACCCCCAAACTTCAAATCAAACGACTTTGCGACTGCAGTGGAGGCGGCTCGAAGGTCAGGCCCTCGAAACAGGGACTCAAGATAGTGATTCGTGAGCCAGTCTATTTCCATATCCCCCTCATCGTTCACAACCTCCTGGTTCTCAGGCGCTTCCGAAGGAGAACAGTCACCAAGCTCATCTTCGATCATCTCTTCATCACCATCTTCATCCATTCCCACACCCGCCCCCTCATCAGGAGCATCATCACCAGGAGCCTCCAACGGATCAAACAGTATGGGCCTCTCGGGGTCCTCAGTGTCCTGCAAAAGAGGCTTAGCTAAAGATAGCTCTTCCAGGGTCTTGGCATCGTAGATGTCACCTCCCTGAATCATTCTGGCGACGGAGAATATATCTATTTCACTGCTTCCGACAGGGACGGCAAAGATGCCGCCACCTTTGGCGTGCACCGGTCCCAGATAAACCGCTTTCACGGTCCGGGCGCCCCTGAACTTATCATGGTGCGCCTTGGACTTACTGACCTGAGCTTGAACCAGACACCCGAACGGTCTCGTCCGAGTTCGGTTCACAATCTCCTCATGCAGTCGATCTATGCTAGTGCTCGAATCCCCGACGCTGGTACACCAGAGGTTATAGCACCTAGCAACGTAGAAAACACAGGCTTGCCAAAGCAAACCTCCCAAAGGTAACCGATACTTCCCAAGCTCAACGGCTTCCGTTTCCTGCTTCACCTTAGCAACCTCTTTCTCCAGGTCCAACCAAACAGACCAGAAACCCTGCTTCATAGTTTCAACCTGCCGCTCAATCGATCCCTTCGACTGGGGCCTGTAGCCCGGAACCACGTCAATCAAAGTTGCGCTGGCAGGGCTGCTATCGCACTTGGTGAGTTTCTCGGCAAGGGCTCCAAGAGCCGCTTCTTGGTCCATCCGAAATGTAACCGCTTTACCGACTAATCCCATTTCGCGAATCACACGGTTGATGTTGTGGAGCAGGTCAGGGTCATCGAGGTGCATCGCAGGAAGAGAGACAGTATACTTAGAACCGAGGTGCATCATCAAGAGTACCCTCAGTTTTCCGAAATAGAAGAAATCAAGACCTATGGTCTGGTTCTCTCTCTGCAGCTTCCTCCTCAAGCGACGCGCTGGAACGCGCCCTTTCGAAGAACAACACGCTTCACAATTGGAATCAAACGGAAAATGCCCTCGGCTCCGATGATTATACAACGACACAGAAGAAAGAGGAACCCTCAGGTCCTCCTCGTCCTCAGGTCCAACCGGGTCGTCAGGTGGTGTTGGACCCTTTTCTTTTCGAGGTTTCTTGGAAGAGCCAGGGGCAGACCCTAACGGTTCAGGGTCCTCATCGAAGATTCCTTCAGGATCTAAAGGATTACGACTAGAAGCTTCAGGTTTTGAGGAAGTTTCGGGAGCAGGTCTCGAGGAAGGTTCGGGGTCTAAGTCAAACGGATCAGAACGTGTACCGGTCCCTGGCGACGGTAAACCTCTAAAGCGCACGGCTCGGAGCACGTGCTCAACTTGTTCCGTCTCCTTTGCCGGGGCCGGTTCATCATCTCCGGCACAAAGCATGCCAAACATGCCGCAACATGCGCACTTCAAGTTTTCACAGACATGCTCACAAACGCGCTCCCCAAAACCTTTCACCTCACGACTCAAAAGAAGTTTCCTACTCACCTCGACGCGGGCCCAACGGTCCCGCAGCTTAATCCTAAAGTAGCTTCCGCGTTTTCTAGAAAACACCCTGTAGCACTTCCGTGGCCTCTTTCGAGAAACCACTTTCCTGAAACACCGAAGTAACCCTGAAGAAACCCACAAAGCTATACCCCAGAAGAGGCTGTAGACCGTCAGGAGGAGCACGATGATACCAATATCCAGTCCTGGCGTGAAACCATTCCTGAAAGCGGCCGTGGTTTTAAAGGTGCGGGTTTCGAAGGTAGGAGGGTTCGAGGTACGTTGGGTTGGTCTTCGAGCAAACTCAACATGCCACAGACCATGCCAACGCTCATGCCACACAACATGCTGCTGCAAAACGTGCTGCTGCAAAGTGTGTTGCTGCAAAACGTGCTGCTGCAAAGCGTGCTTTTGCAAAACACCCCTCGTTGCGGATCGCCGCAGATTCACTCCAACAATCTCTGGCCCTCTTCGAGGGCTTGCCTCACCTGCGCAGTCAATTGACTGTGGCTTAAAGATGGCGGGCTGAGCACAAATGCCCGTTCCTGGGCAGTCTGTCCGGTGGCAGAACCACTCGCAGCCGCACTCATAGCCCTCGGAGGCGTTGGTAGCCGAGATCTTTTTGGAACCGACGGCGGGATGTTCACGCCGTGCCTTCGATAGTCCTCCCTCTGCATTCCCTCCGGAAGCGTAGGTGCCGAGACCCTCGGGAGGTTGAATGCCGTAGCCACCAGTTCTCCAGGTGGCATTGAGGAAGCCGGGCTCGGCGGCGCCGGCTGTCCCGCCTCGGCGGGCTGATTTCCCTCGTCGGCCGCCCCAACATAGCCATCCAATTGGGACAACCTCTGGCCTGTAAGTTCTTCCAATGTGCGCCATATGGCGAGGTCGGATAAATCTTCTTGGCCCTGGGCCCTGTTCAGCGCAGTAAGTTCCCCTTCTCCAAGGAGCAAGGACTCCTCGTCGGAGCTCGAAGAGGTGGTGTCCACTACACCACCCTGAGGGATCGCTGCCGATTTGGCCCTTGCCGCTCGCATGGATTCCCGGGCCTCGTGGAGGCGCTCCTCCTCTCGTTTTCGCCTGTAATATCGGGCAACACGGAGATATATGCCCGAATCTAGGAACGCCCAAGCCGTTTTGAGCTCGAGCGAGGTGACCGACTGGGGCACCTTTACGAGCAGACTCGAACGTCCTCCCACCAGTCCCTTGTATCCAGCAGGCGTAGCCAAATAGGTTTGCAAAACGGCTCGACAATGGAAGATATAGTGGAGCATAGACACAGGGTTGGGTTCCTGAAACCTTCGCTTCCACGCTGCCCGAGCGGCCCGTGGAGCCTCCAGAAGTTCGGTAACCCTGACAGCGAACTCCAAATCTACCATATGAAGCCCGTACTCTGCCAGGCTCTTGCCCTCTAGGCAACGTCCCAACCAAACCTCCCATTCCTGCTGCCCAATGATACATTGGGATTCCGATTCCACCATCTTCGGCCTCGAAGCCCTCACTGGCTCCTCCGGATAGGCCGCTGTCACAGGAATCACCGGAGTGGCTGGTAGCCAAGCAGCTGGATGCTCTAGGTCGGGCAGGCCTATCGGACCAAGCATCGTCGCCGCCGGAGAGCAAAGTGCTCTCAAGGCGTGTCCTGGCGCACAGAACGCCAGGGATGGGGCATCGTAGGCATCTTCCATGTTCGCTGGAATCCCCGCCAAGTGCGAGAGCAACGGACGAGACCTTTGCAAGGCCCAGCGTTTCCGCATGCTCCCATCTGCGGCCAGCCTCCAGCCTCAACGCCCTCAGGAGGAGTTGGGTTCCCACATCCATCTGAACCGCACCAAAAGGAGGGCTCAGCGAGCCCGGCGAGATATTCGCCGGGATTCCAGCCCGCGGTGGCACAGGCCCCTCGACCTCTGAAGGACCCCCAGCGCGCAGGCGCTTCGAAGGATTCGGCCACTGGGTGCCCCAACTCTCCTCCCCATCGCTCTCCTCCGCTGCTTCCGTCACCACTGGCGACGGGTAGACCGCCACCGGCGACGATGGTCCCCCACCCGGCGGCTCTACCCCCGGTAGTTCGAAAGAGGGGCTCTCCAAAGCCGGTGGAGTAGGCGGATTCCCAGGAGAGCCTGGGCTGCTCAAAGCAACACTCGGGGTAAACTCGTCCCCGCTGGCACCGTCCATTATGATCTCCAAAGGGAGACCTCTCTTCACCACAGAGAAAAACGGCTGCAGATGAATCGTGCGCAGTGCTAGCGCAAACATTCGGCAACATCAGCGTTTGCAAAATCAAGCCAAGCATGCCAACATGCCACGGTTTCCTAGGTTCACGCAGCTGTTTCCTAGACTCACACAGTCGCTTCCTAGGCTCACGCAGTTGCTTCCTAGGCTCACGCAGTTGCTTCTCAAGCTCAGGCAGCTGCTTTCGCAATCCTTTTCCTACCCTCTTGTGGCTGAAGGGTCTGTCTTCTTCACTTGCCATCGAGCAAGACCCAACCAGCTGCAATGCTACCATCAGCATCGCTCTCAGAATACTGCGAATCTGGAACCTCGTCGTGGGCACGTAGCCATTGCAGCCCCGACCAGTGCTGTATACAGGCCCAGCAATAATGATGGGTGTGCGCAGGTTTGCGTCTGACGCACCCCTGCTTTCCGCACACTTCGCACCGGCACTCGCATTCTGGCTTTGATCCGCCCAGATAGTTTCCCATAGCAGGAAAAAGAGGCGTATTCTGAGTCTTTCTGCAAAAGCCGTAAGGGTAAAAGCAGGCTCGAGCACAGCAGCAAAAACCCACTGCGCTTGCACAACCATGTCTCTCATGAAAACATGCCATCGCAAAACCATGGAAAAACATGCCAAAAACATGCAAAGCACCATGCCAACATGCGACTGTTTCCTAAAATCAAGAGCCATGCCAACATGCGACCGTTTCCTAAAATCAAGAGCCATGCCAACATGCGACCGTTTCCTAAAATCAAGCGACATGCCAGCATGCACCTGTTTCCTAAAATCAATCGCCGCGCCCTGCCTAACGTCACTAGACTCTTCTAGAAGATCACAAAGCTCAATCTCCCGTGGTGCAGGCGCTCTTGGAGCAACTTCCGCCCTAAGACCCCGAAGCAGAAACCCAAAAGGAGTGGCAGCCAAAGCGTGGCGACCAGACTCGTCTTCTTCCGAGGTCTTTCTTCCTTTCTTCAGGATTCCTTCTCCAGGCTTCTGGGGTCCTGCGGTGGACTCCTTGCTCGATCCTAGCAGGTCGCGGTCCTTCAAGGCATCTATCTGATCTATCTCCATGTCGTCGATCCCTTTCGGGGGGCGTCTGGAAGAATTCTCTTTCCCCCGGCCCTTGGACCTCCCGCTCAGAGCCCACCAGGCACGCGAAGCGCCCATCAGCTTGATGCTCTTCTTTCCGTTTCCTTTGTACAATCGTGATCCCGATTTGGCTAGATAGGTTTTCCAGCCCCGTTCCGACCCGGTCCAAGGCGAAACAACGTTGAACCCAACATCCGCCACCAAGACCTCTTCCAACCTCAGGAAAACGTCACCAAAGTGAACCTCAAGGTCGACAACCCCCGATACGACGATCGCACCACCCGAGGCATTGAACAGATTGGCCGTTCGGTCGTACTTCTTGACAACACGAAATCCTGAGAGATGTTTGTCAGAAACAATGTGGCAGGTGGCTCCACTATCAACTAGCCACAGGTCCCCAGGAGTAGTCTCGAGGGCCTTGCAGACATGAGCTACGTCGCCGTACTTCGGGATCCTAAGGAGCCCATAGACTCAGAACCTCGACTCTCAGACCCAGGCGACCCTTCGGGTCCTGAACCCGGCTTCGGAACTACAAGGGCGGACGGCTCAGGCTTCTCAGGCTGTCTCAGAACACGGCGTTCCGAAGAAGAGGGCTCCGAAGAACCACGCCCAGGACAGGAAAACCTCATCGCCATCACTGTGGCGCTTCCTCCCGACTCGGCCTCGGACTCCGGCTCTGTCAAGGAGCGTCCCTTTCCAGGCTGTCCCTTCTTCTTCTTCTGCTTCTTGCCTTTGTCCTTTCCTTTGTCGCCTTTTCCTTTGTCGCCCTTGCCCTTCTCGGAACCACGGGGTGTGCCAGATCCCTTGGGAGTCTGGTCGCCTTTGCCTTTCGGCTTTCCTTTGTCTCCTTTCTCTTTGCCCTTCGGAGCACCACCGCGTTCACGTTCTTCCTTTTGGCGCTGCCAACACTTGTCGGCTGTGTGTCCCTTCTTCCCGCAGTAGTCGCAAAGCTTCTCCTGCAAGGCTCGGCCCGAAGACCCAGGGACCTCACACAGTCGCAGCTGCTCCTCGTAGTAAGTCAGCGTCCTTCGAAGAGCTTCCCAGTTCGAGCTGGACCCGTGCAGTACCACGTACTGACGTACTTCTGCACCCAAGCTCTGTAACAGGACAGAGCAGCGATCAGCCTCAGACAGCAGAAGCTCCGGAAAGTTGCTCAGCTTCGCTTCAGACTTCGAAAACGAATCCTCAAGATGTCGAATCAAGTCGGTGGGCCTCTTCAAATGCCCAACGTGCTGGTACAACTTCAAAGCCTGTTCTCTCACGAAGACAGCTACGTGCGGCAGTCTCGGGATTCAAGTCAGCTTGCACAATCTCCTTCTTCACAGGGATACAAAGCTGCAGTTCCCGAACAAACGCTTCTTCCTGCAGGGCAAGCCAGGAACTCAGCGTCTCCATAAAGGAGTGCCAAGTCTCTACCTCCTTCATGCGCCCTTTCCCCATGCCTTGATGGTCTATCACCGGAAGGTTCGGCAGATACTTCTCTGCACGGCCTCCAGCACCAGAGTACCCGGAGGGAGACGGAACTTGCCGGAGCTGCCGAACTAGCGGCAGAACTGCTCGCGGGAGCATCTGCTGCCTGCTTGGCCGCTTCAGCTGCCTCAAGAACTTTCTCTTCCGCTTTGTTCCTTCTCTCTTCCTCCAGATCCATTCTCCGGAGCATCGTCGCAACGAGCTGCTGGTTCATTGCCATCATCTCTCTCTGCTGACGAAGCAATTCCATCATGAAGCCAGGCATCTGCTCAGGCGTAAAACCTGCAGAACCAGAGCTGCTACTCGGAGCAGCAGCCTTCGGACTCTGAACAGGTGGAGCCGACGCCTTTGGACTTTGCACAGGAGGCACAGTAGTACCAGTCGGCGAACCCGCCGCTGGTTCTGAAGGCTGTGCTTGCGTAGGAGCAGGAGACGGACCATGGACAGGAGCAAACGGATTCGCTCCCTGCTGAGCAGCCGCTTCATGCGCTGCCGCAGCTGGTCCTGGACCAAAAAGCTCGAACTCTTCTTCTGCAGTGGTCTCCGGCACAGGAACGTCTGCCATGGCTTTACTAGGAACGCACTCAGCGCTCCGCTACCATGTGAAAAACGCAGAGCAAGTCTCTTTTCACTCCACGCTTGAGCCAAACACCGAAGTGTTCAGCAAGGTCTCTTGCGGAGTCTCGCGCAGCAAATTCCGTCTCAACTTTGCTAAACAAAGGAGGAATGACATGCAACTGTCCTAACACTTCTCAGGACTTCTGTACTCTACAGGCACGACTTGGCCTCCTAGCACTTGCTGTGGGAATCAAGCCCCATAAAGCGGTCCCAAGCCCTGCGCCAGCAAGACACACTGCCCCGCCCCCCGGAGGGGTGGGTTCGACCAACAGGAAACAAACAGGATCAGCGGTCACGAGCACTACACTTCAAAAGCGGCTGCCTCTGACTTTGACGACTCCGCAGCGGTCACGAGCACTACACTTCAAAAGCGGCTGCCTCTGACTTTGACGACCCCGCCATCACCTGGGCACTCTCTCTCCCTCTCGCTCACACTCACGCGCACACTCACTCTCACCCTCACTCTCACCCGCACTCGCACTCGCACTCTGACTCTCACTCTCGCTCTCACTGTCACTTTCAGTAATTCTCTCTCTCTCTCTCTCTCTCTCTCTCTTTCCCGCCCCTCCCTCCCTCCCTCCCTCGCTCCCTCCCTCCCTCCCTTCCCTCCCTCCCTGTTCCCTCCTTTCCTCCTCCTTCCCTCCTTCCCTCCCTCCCTCCCGCGCTCCCCCAGAAGATACTCACAACCTGAACGTGTCAAACACTTGATACACCATTTTTTTCGAACTCTGCACTGCGGCTGGTGGCTGCGCTAACTCTCAATTTCTAGACAATGTTGCCTTTTTTGCATGGAAAGCACTAGCGAAATACAACACGGCAGATACGGACGGCCTCAACGTGTCAAACACTTCACACACCATTTTTTTCGAACTCTGCACTGCGGCTGGTTGCTGCGCGAACTCTCAATTTCTAGACAATATTGCATTTTTGCACGGAAAGTACTAGCGAAATACAACACGGCAGATGCGGACGGTCTGAATGTGTCAAACACTTCATACACCATTTTTTCGAACTCTGCACTGTCCCTGGTGGCTGCGCCACTCTCAGTTTCTTGACAATCTTGCCTTTTTTGCATGGAAAGCACTAGCGGACAACGACACGGCAAATACGGACGGACTGAACGTGTCAAACACTTCATAGACCAGTTTTTTCGAACTCTGCCCGTCGCTGGTGGCCCCGCGAACTCTCACTTTCTTGACAAATATTGCATTTTTGCATGGAACATCATGGAAACCACTAGCGAAACACGATACGGCAGATACGGACGGCATCAACGTCTCAACCACTCATTCATTCCCTGACTCCCTCATTCCCTGATTCGCTCCCTCCCTCCCTCCCTCACTCCCTCATTCACTCCCTCCCTCCCTCCCTCACTCCCTCCCTCCCTCCCTCACTCCCTCCCCTCCCGCACTCCAGCCTTCCACCCCTCAGCCAGGCTGGAAGGCTGGAGGGCTGGAAGGTTGGAGGGAGGGCTGGAGTCCAGCCTTCCAGCCCTCCTCCAACCCTCCAGCCTTCCCTCCAGCCTCCACCTTCCAGCGCTCCAGTTCCAGCCTTCCACCCCTCAGCCCTCCAGCCTTCCAGCCTTCTCCAGCTCCCAACCCTTTCCAGCCCCTCCCTCTGCTTCTCTGCCCTAAAAAGCTGGAGGGCTGGAGACCTGCAGAGCTGGAAGGCTGGAAGGCTGGAGGCTGGAGGGCTGGAAGCCTTTTTTGGAGGCACTGCCCGCCAAAGTGAGAAAATCTGACGTGGTCTTGGAAGCCTTGCACCGAAGTGACAACAGCCGAAGTGACAACAGCAGACGTTGGCACTTTCAACACCTTCTTCGGAAACCCAACGTCATCTTGGGAGGCACTGTCACCCCAAACTGAAAACAGCAGACGTCCTAGCTTGAAACTCTCTGCCTCGGCACTGGCCCCAGAGTGAGAAAATCTGACGTGGTCTTGGAAGCCTTGCACCAAAGTGACAGCAGCAGACGTGGCCCTTTCTTCGCCATAGTCACTCATGCATTAGCAGTCATTAGCAATACAATTTCTGTGTGCAGTAGACGTGCACCGAATTGGAACGCAGCCATGATGCGTCCTCAGGTGACAGCTCATGCAACTCTGCAGTCCAGGTGTTGCTTGTGACGATCATCATCGTGCCATAGACCCAAACCTTGTAAGAGTAGCAATTCGTGTTGGAGCTGGCCAGTTCCAGTGGTTGCACACCACCCTGGAAAAGCTTCTTGTGCCGGAGAACCATGGCACAAGATGCCTCATCAAACACGATCGCGCGATGAACATCATTGTTGAAGTCCCGCAAATTGGGTTCCATGGACGATGCACAATTCAACTCCAGAGTGTGTTCGGGTCCTGCAAGGCTGGAGGCAAAGATCGTCTTGCCGAGCTTCGTGGGTCCGTCCAGCACCAAGAAGCGTCGTCTGAAAGCATCCACCTGGAATTGAGGCAAGAACTCTTGTTCCACTGGTTCCAGATACACCCGAGGACGATGCATGCGGAGCAAGGCTGCCTGTGCTGCAGCCTGGCGTTCCTGCAAGTTGCTCTGCTGGGTCATCTGGACCTGTGATGTGACATTGTCACAATACTGTTTGACGTGCTTTTTGCACTTGAGATAGAGTTCCTTGGCCGATTCCGGAGACAATTTATCCCCTTGCCACATGCTTGTGATCCATTCTGGAGACACTGCATAGGACTTGAACGGTGGTGCATTTGTGGCATGGAGTATGGCACCTGTCTTGAGCGGAGTCAAGTAAAAGTGCCCCTGATCATAGGCTCGTTTGCAAGCCCGTCCGCGGGCGACTGGTGCTGCAAGCGACCTGTACGGCTGCGAGTTGCGAAACTTCAATCCAGGCTCATTTCGAAATGAGATGGTCTTGCCAATGGCATCAAACATAAAATGTATGTGTACCAATGGAATGGGAGGGTTGGCCGCAAGCGAAGCTTCCACATGTAGCTCCATGGCTGCAGTCCAGCGCGTGATAGGTGTGCTTGACACCAGCTGCTGCCTGAAGGCCGAGAACTCGTCCCACAATCCTTGCACATAGGGGTGACACTTGAGGCGACTGCATACCTCAGAAATGCCATTGTGACCCTTCGCAACCAGCACCGCCGACATTGCGGCATCGTCCACACGGCTCCACGACCCTGAATACCGAAACATAGTCCCACTGCCACGGTACGAACTCATGACATCCTCCTCCACCTCATGTGGGCCACGGAGGGGCGTCTCAGATGTCCAAGCCATGATTAGACGGGTGGCTGCTGCATGAAGCCGGGGTGGTACCTGCCCAGACTCCAGCATGGAACTCAGCATCTGACGCTTGTTGGCGGCTGAGGTGAACTCTCGTTTGGCCGCAGCACGTGCATCCTGACCCCCACGTCCATGCTCGGCAAGGTAGGAGGCAACCCACTTGTCTCTCACAAGCGTTCTCACCTGCCCAAGCTCATCACTCGACGGCGCGGCAGGAAGAGGCTGCTTATATAGCAAACGCCGGCGCTTCATTGAAGCAACTTTGGGCCACGCGCCAACGGCAGAACAGATCACTGGATGTCCAAAACTGTGGAAAGGAATGGAAAGGGAACACCAAACCTGTCAGAACCCTTGCGACTTCCACGTTTCTGGTGGAAAACAGAGCGGAAAGGAACGCAAAGGAACCTTCCAGATGGAAATCCCCCTAGTGGGGAAGGCATTCCTTTTTTCCCGCTGTGGGAGAATAGAATTATTATTCTCCCAGAGCAGAAAAAAAGGAACGCCTCACGGGGCTCACTGTGGCCTTCCAGCTACTAGTGGTCTCCAGTCCTTCGGCCCAGGTGGACGATGGCATGTCTTTTTCTTGGTGGATCCACGCTTGAGCGACCAGAAGAGCGTCCTTTGAGCAATAAAACTGGGGAGACAAAGCGAGCAACATGAGCAGCGCATCCCGAGCAAAATGAAACCAAGGAGGGGGGTAGCGAGCAAAACAGGCATCTCTTTGCATCGTGCGGCGCTTCTACGCTGTGAAGTGTACGTGGTGGGAGCAGGACAATGCCGAAGTGTAAATTGCGTCAACGCCTGCTCTGCAAGCTACAAAGCAAGGAGCGGCTGGACTTTTGCCCTGTTCAGTCACAAATCCGATGGAAGTCAAGCAAGCCTCGGCAACTGCACTGCCTGCAGTTTTCATTCTGAAAACAAAGCTGCACTGCACGCAACTCCACAGCACGACACAGCAACATTCAGTCTTCAAACTGCCGCTGCACTGCACTGCTGTCTCTACCGCGTTAAAGCAACACTTCAGAGCACGACGCCACTAACATCGCTCTCTATCACGTAGCAGCACTCCAGACCATGACTTGTTCTGAGTCTGTCAATCTCAGGTCGCGACCGATGCGTCAGAAATCAGAAAAGCCTAGGGAACTGCGCTTGATTTACCTGATGCTACACTGTACTGTTGTCTCTAGTCAGTCTTGAAACTGCGGCTGCACTGCACTGCTGTCTCTACCGCGTTATAGCAGCACTTTAGAGCACGACGCCACTAACATCGCTCTCCATCACGTAGCGGCACTCCAAACCATGACTGGGACTGTTCTCAGTGTGTCAATCTCAGGTCGCGACCGATGTGTCAGAAATCAGAAAAACCTAGGGAGCAGCGCTTGATTTACCCGGTGCTACACTGTACTGTTGTCTCTACTCAATCTTCAATTGCCGCTGCACTGCACTGCTGTCTCTACCGCGTTAACAGCACTCCAGAGCGCCACACCACGTAAAACTGGATTTGCAGAGTCTCCAGCTATTCTTTGGAAGCGTGTTCTTGGCAGAAGTCTAAAAATCTCCGCTCAAAACCAGAAAATAACACCTTCAACCCTAAAAGGAGATGTTGGTTGGGAAACCCCAGATGTGTTGAGGAACCCTAAACCCTAAAAGGAGCTGAACTGAAAGAGCAACCCTGCGAAGAGTCTTGAATTGCCGCTGCACTGCTGTCTCTGCCGCGTTAGCAGCACTCCAGAGCACGACACCACGAACACTGCCCTTTACCGCGTTAGCAACTCAAAAGGTTGCAATTATGTCCTAAATCTCAAAAGGTTGATCCGATGCAATATCTTCCCAAATATGACAGCACGACGCGGCTACTTGCAAGAACGGCCGCAACAGCACAGAGAGAGGCTTGGATCTCAGGTCACGACTGATCCGTCGCAAAAAAAATCACACCTCAAGAACGGCGCATCATTGAGCTGATGCTGCACTGCGCTGCTGTCTTCAGTCTTCAGATGCACTGCACTGCGCTGCACTGCACTGCTGTCCCTACCATCGTTTACAGCACTCCAGAGCACATCTCAAAAGCTTGATCCGATGCAATTATGTCCTAAATCTCAAAAGGTTGATCCGATGCAATATCTTCCCAAATATGACAGCACGACGCGGCTACTTGCAAGAACGGCCGCAACAGCACAGAGAGAGGCTTGGATCTCAGGTCACGACTGATCCGTGGCAAAAAAAATCACACCTCAAGAACGGCGCATTATTGAGCTGATGCTGCACTGCGCTGCTGTCTTCAGTCTTCAGATGCACTGCACTGCGCTGCACTGCACTGCTGTCCCTACCATCGTTTACAGCACTCCAGAGCACATCTCAAAAGCTTGATCCGATGCAATTATGTCCTAAATCTCAAAAGGTTGATCCGATGCAATATCTTCCCAAATATGACAGCACGACGCGGCTACTTGCAAGAACGGCCGCAACAGCACAGAGAGAGGCTTGGATCTCAGGTCACGACTGATCCGTCGCAAAAAAAAATCACACCTCAAGAACGGCGCAGTATTTGCTGCACTGCACTACTGTCTTCAGTCGTCAGATGCCGCTGTACTGCACTGCACTGCTGTCTCTACCATCGCTAGCAGTACTCCAGAGCACATCTCAAAAGGTTGATCCGAAGCAATAACTTCCTATTTCTCAAAAGTTTGATCCGATGCAATATCTTCCGAAATCTCAAAAGCTTGATCCGATGCAATATTTTCCTAAATAGGACAGCAGGGCTTGCAAGAACGGCCGCAACAACGCAGAGACAGGCTAGCATCTCAGGTCACGACCGATCCAGACAAAGCACACCATTGTTGAGCTCATGCTGCCGTGCACTGCTGTCTTCAGTCTTCCCCAAAGCACATTAACAATGTTCTTGCCAAAAGTCTGAACATGTTAGGACAAAGGCATCACGGCTACGACTTGTTATTTGCAAAAGAGCGAATGAAAACTTCACAGGACTACTGCCACAATCTCCGACATCATTTCAGCAAAACAAAGCAGCAATATTTTCAAGGCACGTGTCGCTGCATCTGCTTCTCTTGCAGAAAGCAGCAACAGCACAGGCGTTTAGAGTGCAGAAGAAAAGTTTGGAGTCTGCACAAACTTGTCGACTTCAGAAGAAGTCTGCAGATTATCAAGAGCATCAGCTGCGGGAGTGAGAAACGAGGGAAAAGCTTTCGAAAAAACAGTTTCTAGAAGCTTCCAGCTCCCACTCTCAGAGAACTGGTTGCCTCTTTTCTACAAGAAGCCCTAGCAAGTCTGCCTCGCTCAGCTTTCGTGCCACCGCCCGCGCTTTTTTGAGCTTTTTTGTTTCGGCCTTTACCACCTTGCTCAGCTGCTTGGCTTGTACCTGGAGAGGCACACAAGGCTGTACAAGAAAGGGCCTGAGCCTCCTAAGACACACAATGCTGTGAGCCTTCGCAGCTGCCCTGGCAGCTTTTAGGGCAGCAAGGCGTTCGTTCAGCGTTTCCTGCGTAGATACGAGTGAGCAGCTGCTCCTGTGGATGCTTTTTTGGCATGGCTACCTGGGGCAGTTCCACACGGTCGGGCTCTCGTGGAAGCTCAGGTCCCGCAACCTCGGCCTCGGGCGGGGCGCTTTGTTTCAGCAGGGGTGCTGTGAAACAGTGTTGACCTGCCTCGTTGTTTGCCATGCCTTCAGCACGGTGTTTTAAGGCAGGGTTTGCTGGAGCCAAGCAGAGAACTCAGCAAGCGCCATATTAACTGCTTGATGGCCGGAGCCAAAATCAGAGTGCTTGGCAGCAGCTGATACGCTAGGGGCACAAGTCGTTCCTGTACAGTTGCAATTTTTTGCGGCAGCACGTCTTCTCTGCATGCTTCAAGATGTTTAGGAAAGCACCGGCACCTCTCGCCGGGGACCGCCCACCCAGTCAGAAAAAGTCCGGGTCAAGTCGTGCCTTTTAGGCAACAACTGTGCAAATTCATCTGGAGACAAAGCTTGCTCCAGACAGGGAATTCCCTCCGGGAACAGCGAGGCAAGCTTGCCATGCAACCTTTGCTCGGATGTGGGAAGGCCTGCCTGTGCAAAGGCCTTCCAAAAGGGACGATTCGTCCAGTAGTCTGTACACGCTTTGAAAATTGTTCTAAACCAAGTCTCTAGAGACACGAGCCCATTTTGGCAAATTCGCTGCTGGCGGTTTTCGCGCTCCAACCATTTCTTATATGGTCCAAAACACCATAAATCTAAAGGCTGCAGGTAGGACGTCATGCCTGGGGGCACCGGCAGCATGAATAACCCCTGGAGGCGTCCTTCTCTTATGACGCCCGGAGAAAGATGGCACGAGGCCGCGTCGAAGACAACAATGGCCTGATATTGCGGGACGCGGATGCGAAAGAGCTGACCCAAGAGAGTTAGCAAGGAGACCATATGTCGTGCTGAATTCCATGAGGAATCCTCACGACAGAGAGTCACGGTGGAGGGAACAACGCTTTGCAATTGTTGCTCCAGGGTTCTGCTGAGACGACGCTTGTTACATATTAAAATCTGTGGCAAATGCGCTTGCACACTGAGGACATTTGAGACGAGAGCGACGTGGGTGATGCACCCACGTGCGTCTTGAGGTCTAATTTGAACCTCTGCGTGGAATTTCCGCTGTATCAGGCCAGGCGCAGCATGGAACGAATAGGCTAAAGCCGTTTCATCTATATTGATGTAGACTGGCTGCTTCGCGCTGGAGCGTTCCAACCAAGCAGCGTGGCGCCAGAAGAGCACGGCCTGCAGGCAACGAGAAATGGCTTACCGAAATTGAACCCAAATTGGGCCCCAAAACTGGAGCCAGAACGAGGCCTCATTTTGGAGCCTCGTTTTGGGGTTGTAAGTGCTTCCACGAGAGTTAGCCTTAGAAAGCAGCTCCTCAATCCTCGGGTCCAAATGCTGCCGCTGGTTAGGAGGTATCGAAACGCAGATAAGTGCAGAACGATCCACTGCAAGCAGCTACCATAAGCATGCGGTGTTATGCGTGCAGGAAGTCTCGAGAACCCAGCACCCGGCCTTTGCACAAACATCTTCCACTGGCTTGGTTCTTCGTCTGGCAATCCAACGCTGTGCAGTCTTGTAAATGCCCTGCCGCGAACCAGAAGGATCCTGCAGCGATGCTATGTCTTCCAAGCTTGTTTTGAGGTACAGCTCTTCTACATATCGTTTCTTGTCTTCTGCGTCTGCCTCTTCCATCCTTTCACGCGCAGCCTTCGCGCTGATATACTCGAGAGCCACCGCTGGGTCACCAGTAAGTACATAAATCGCCAATAAGACAAACACTTGACGGGGATTCAAGCCCATGTTGGCTTCCCGCTGCTTCTCGGCTCTTCTCGTCCGTGACAACGAAGAAATCTTTCTTCGAAGACATGCAACCTTCCAAAGCAAATCACACGACAGAAAGTAGCAACAATGCACAACTGCTCCCTTTCTATGTCGTCCTACCTACCAAAAGAAACCTCCTGGCGGATCCGCTGCAGCTCCACTGCTGGATTTGCGGCAGCCATGTTTCAAACGCAAAACCGCCTCTGCTCTGAGAAAACGGATGTCGAGTAGCAGCTAGTGGCTGTGGAAAACTGCATGATGCAGCACAAGCAATCAATCGCATAGCCTGTCTGAACACCGCTGGCTTTTACTGTTGCAATTTTTTGCGGCAGCACGTCTTCTCTGCATGCTTCAAGATGTTTAGGAAAGCACCGGCACCTCTCGCCGGGGACCGCCCACCCAGTCAGAAAAAGTCCGGGTCAAGTCGTGCCTTTTAGGCAACAACTGTGCAAATTCATCTGGAGACAAAGCTTGCTCCAGACTGGGAATTCCCTCCGGGAACAGCGAGGCAAGCTTGCCATGCAACCTTTGCTCGGATGTGGGAAGGCCTGCCTGTGCAAAGGCCTTCCAAAAGGGACGATTCGTCCAGTAGTCTGTACACGCTTTGAAAATTGTTCTAAACCAAGTCTCTAGAGACACGAGCCCATTTTGGCAAATTCGCTGCTGGCGGTTTTCGCGCTCCAACCATTTCTTATATGGTCCAAAACACCATAAATCTAAAGGCTGCAGGTAGGACGTCATGCCTGGGGGCACCGGCAGCATGAATAACCCCTTGTGGCGTCCTTCTCTTATGACGCCCGGAGAAAGATGGCACGAGGCCGCGTCGAAGACAACAATGGCCTGATATTGCGGGAAGCGGATGCGAAAGAGCTGACCCAAGAGAGTTAGCAAGGAGACCATATGTCGTGCTGAATTCCATGAGGAATCCTCACGACAGAGAGTCACGGTGGAGGGAACAACGCTTTGCAATTGTTGCTCCAGGGTTCTGCTGAGACGACGCTTGTTACATATTAAAATCTGTGGCAAATGCGCTTGCACACTGAGGACATTTGAGACGAGAGCGACGTGGGTGATGCACCCACGTGCGTCTTGAGGTCTAATTTGAACCTCTGCGTGGAATTTCCGCTGTATCAGGCCAGGCGCAGCATGGAACGAATAGGCTAAAGCCGTTTCATCTATATTGATGTAGACTGGCTGCTTCGCGCTGGAGCGTTCCAACCAAGCAGCGTGGCGCAAGAAGAGCACGGCCTGCAGGCAACGAGAAATGGCTTACCGAAATTGAACCCAAATTGGGCCCCAAAACTGGAGCCAGAACGAGGCCTCATTTTGGAGCCTCGTTTTGGGGTTGTAAGTGCTTCCACGAGGTAGCCTTAGAAAGCAGCTCCAAAAAGAGGGTCCAAAAATGAGCTCAAAAAGCATCCCCGCATGGAGTCGAAAGCGATGCGGCCCCTCAATCCTCGGGTCCAAATGCTGCCGCTGGTTAGGAGGTATCGAAACGCAGATAAGTGCAGAACGATCCACTGCAAGCAGCTACCATAAGCATGCGGTGTTATGCGTGCAGGAAGTCTCGAGAACCCAGCACCCGGCCTTTGCACAAACATCTTCCACTGGCTTGGCCGCTTTCATCTTGCCCAGCCGGAAGGCAAAACTGCGACGGAAGCGACTGCTCCAGGCTCGTAATCCACGGGCATCGGTAGTTGGTACAGAGGACGCACTTTGTTTGCGATATTCTTCTGCAACTTGCTCTGAACTTGGAGCCACGCCAATCGCATTCATATTGCACACGAAGTTTCTGGTTCTTCGTCTGGCAATCCAACGCTGTGCAGTCTTGTAAATGCCCTGCCGCGAACCAGAAGGATCCTGCAGCGATGCTATGTCTTCCAAGCTTGTTTTGAGGTACAGCTCTTCTACATAGCGTTTCTTGTCTTCTGCGTCTGCCTCTTCCATCCTTTCACGCGCAGCCTTCGCGCTGATATACTCGAGAGCCACCGCTGGGTCACCAGTAAGTACATAAATCGCCAATAAGACAAACACTTGACGGGGATTCAAACCCATGTTGGCTTCCCGCTGCTTCTAGGCTCTTCTCGTCCGTGACAACGAAGAAATCTTTCTTCGAAGACATGCAACCTTCCAAAGGAAATCACACGACAGAAAGTAGCAACAATGCACAACTGCGCCCTTTCTATGTCGTCCTACCTACCAAAAGAAACCTCCTGGCGGATCCGCTGCAGCTCCACTGCTGGATTTGCGGCAGCCATGTTTCAAACGCAAAACCGCCTCTGCTCTGAGAAAACGGATGTCGAGTAGCAGCTAGTGTCTGTGGAAAACTGCATGATGCAGCACAAGCAATCAATCGCATAGCCTGTCTGAACACCGCTGGCTTTTACTCTACAGGCACGACTTGGCCTCCTAGCACTTGCTGTGGGAATCAAGCCCCATAAAGCGGTCCCAAGCCCTGCGCCAGCAAGACACACTGCCCCGCCCCCCGGAGGGGTGGGCTCGACCAACAGGAAACAAACAGGATCAGCGGTCACGAGCACTACACTTCAAAAGCGGCTGCCTCTGACTTTGACGACTCCGCAGCGGTCACGAGCACTACACTTCAAAAGCGGCTGCCTCTGACTTTGACGACCCCGCCATCACCTGGGCACTCTCTCCCCCTCTCGCTCACACTCACGCGCACACTCACTCTCACCCTCACCCTCACCCGCACTCGCACTCGCACTCTGACTCTCACTCTCGCTCTCACTGTCACTTTCAGTAATTCTCTCTCTCTCTCTCTCTTTCCCGCCCCTCCCTCCCTCCCTCCCTCGCTCCCTCCCTCCCTCCCTTCCCTCCCTCCCTGTTCCCTCCTTTCCTCCTCCTTCCCTCCTTCCCTCCCTCCCCCCCGCGCTCCCCCAGAAGATACTCACAACCTGAACGTGTCAAACACTTGATACACCATTTTTTTCGAACTCTGCACTGCGGCTGGTGGCTGCGCTAACTCTCAATTTCTAGACAATGTTGCCTTTTTTGCATGGAAAGCACTAGCGAAATACAACACGGCAGATACGGACGGCCTCAACGTGTCAAACACTTCACACACCATTTTTTCGAACTCTGCACTGCGGCTGGTTGCTGCGCGAACTCTCAATTTCTAGACAATATTGCATTTTTGCACGGAAAGTACTAGCGAAATACAACACGGCAGATGCGGACGGTCTGAATGTGTCAAACACTTCATACACCATTTTTTTCGAACTCTGCACTGTCCCTGGTGGCTGCGCCACTCTCAATTTCTTGACAATCTTGCCTTTTTTGCATGGAAAGCACTAGCGGACAACGACACGGCAAATACGGACGGACTGAACGTGTCAAACACTTCATAGACCAGTTTTTTTCGAACTCTGCCCGTCGCTGGTGGCCCCGCGAACTCTCACTTTCTTGACAAATATTGCATTTTTGCATGGAACATCATGGAAACCACTAGCGAAACACGATACGGCAGATACGGACGGCATCAACGTCTCAACCACTCATTCATTCCCTGACTCCCTCATTCCCTGATTCGCTCCCTCCCTCCCTCCCTGGAGGCTGGAGTCCAGCCTTCCAGCCCTCCTCCAACCCTCCAGCCTTCCCTCCAGCCTCCACCTTCCAGCGCTCCAGTTCCAGCCTTCCACCCCTCAGCCCTCCAGCCTTCCAGCCTTCTCCAGCTCCCAACCCTTTCCAGCCCCTCCCTCTGCTTCTCTGCCCTAAAAAGCTGGAGGGCTGGAGACCTGCAGAGCTGGAAGGCTGGAAGGCTGGAGGCGGAGGGCTGGAAGCCTTTTTTGGAGGCACTGCCCGCCAAAGTGAGAAAATCTGACGTGGTCTTGGAAGCCTTGCACCGAAGTGACAACAGCCGAAGTGACAACAGCAGACGTTGGCACTTTCAACACCTTCTTCGGAAACCCAACGTCATCTTGGGAGGCACTGTCCCCCCAAACTGAAAACAGCAGACGTCCTAGCTTGAAACTCTCTGCCTCGGCACTGGCCCCAGAGTGAGAAAATCTGACGTGGTCTTGGAAGCCTTGCACCAAAGTGACAGCAGCAGACGTGGCCCTTTCTTCGCCATAGTCATTCATGCATTAGCAGTCATTAGCAATACAATTTCTGTGTGCAGTAGACGTGCACCGAATTGGAACGCAGCCATGATGCGTCCTCAGGTGACAGCTCATGCAACTCTGCAGTCCAGGTGTTGCTTGTGACGATCATCATCGTGCCATAGACCCACTAAACCTTGTAAGAGTAGCAATTCGTGTTGGAGCTGGCCAGTTCCAGTGGTTGCACACCACCCTGGAAAAGCTTCTTGTGCCGGAGAACCATGGCACAAGATGCCTCATCAAACACGATCGCGCGATGAACATCATTGTTGAAGTCCCGCAAATTGGGTTCCATGGACGATGCACAATTCAACTCCAGAGTGTGTTCGGGTCCTGCAAGGCTGGAGGTCGTCTTGCCGAGCTTCGTGGGTCCGTCCAGCACCAAGAAGCGTCGTCTGAAAGCATCCACCTGGAATTGAGGCAAGAACTCTTGTTCCACTGGTTCCAGATACACCCGAGGACGATGCATGCGGAGCAAGGCTGCCTGTGCTGCAGCCTGGCGTTCCTGCAAGTTGCTCTGCTGGGTCATCTGGACCTGTGATGTGACATTGTCACAATACTGTTTGACGTGCTTTTTGCACTTGAGATAGAGTTCCTTGGCCGATTCCGGAGACAATTTATCCCCTTGCCACATGCTTGTGATCCATTCTGGAGACACTGCATAGGACTTGAACGGTGGTGCATTTGTGGCATGGAGTATGGCACCTGTCTTGAGCGGAGTCAAGTAAAAGTGCCCCTGATCATAGGCTCGTTTGCAAGCCCGTCCGCGGGCGACTGGTGCTGCAAGCGACCTGTACGGCTGCGAGTTGCGAAACTTCAATCCAGGCTCATTTCGAAATGAGATGGTCTTGCCAATGGCATCAAACATAAAATGTATGTGTACCGATGGAATGGGAGGGTTGGCCGCAAGCGAAGCTTCCACATGTAGCTCCATGGCTGCAGTCCAGCGCGTGATAGGTGTGCTTGACACCAGCTGCTGCCTGAAGGCCGAGCACTCGTCCCACAATCCTTGCACATAGGGGTGACACTTGAGGCGACTGCATACCTCAGAAATGCCATTGTGACCCTTCGCAACCAGCACCGCCGACATTGCGGCATCGTCCACACGGCTCCACGACCCTGAATACCGAAACATAGTCCCACTGCCACGGTACGAACTCATGACATCCTCCTCCACCTCATGTGGGCCGCGGAGGGGCGTCTCAGATGTCCAAGCCATGATTAGACGGGTGGCTGCTGCATGAAGCCGGGGTGGTACCTGCCCAGACTCCAGCATGGAACTCAGCATCTGACGCTTGTTGGCGGCTGAGGTGAACTCTCGTTTGGCCGCAGCACGTGCATCCTGACCCCCACGTCCATGCTCGGCAAGGTAGGAGGCAACCCACTTGTCTCTCACAAGCGTTCTCACCTGCCCAAGCTCATCACTCGACGGCGCGGCAGGAAGAGGCTGCTTATATAGCAAACGCCGGCGCTTCATTGAAGCAACTTTGGGCCACGCGCCAACGGCAGAACAGATCACTGGATGTCCAAAACTGTGGAAAGGAATGGAAAGGGAACACCAAACCTGTCAGAACCCTTGCGACTTCCACGTTTCTGGTGAAAACGCAAAGGAACCTTCCAGATGGAAATCCCCCTAGTGGGGAAGGCATTCCTTTTTTCCCGCTGTGGGAGAATAGAATTATTATTCTCCCAGAGCAGAAAAAAAGGAACGCCTCACGGGGCTCACTGTGGCCTTCCAGCTACTAGTGGTCTCCAGTCCTTCGGCCCAGGTGGACGATGGCATGTCTTTTTCTTGGTGGATCCACGCTTGAGCGACCAGAAGAGCGTCCTTTGAGCAATAAAACTGGGGAGACAAAGCGAGCAACATGAGCAGCGCATCCCGAGCAAAATGAAACCAAGGAGGGGGGTAGCGAGCAAAACAGGCATCTCTTTGCATCGTGCGGCGCTTCTACGCTGTGAAGTGTACGTGGTGGGAGCAGGACAATGCCGAAGTGTAAATTGCGTCAACGCCTGCTCTGCAAGCGACAAAGCAAGGAGCGGCTGGACTTTTGCCCTGTTCAGTCACAAATCCGATGGAAGTCAAGCAAGCCTCGGCAACTGCACTGCCTGCAGTTTTCATTCTGAAAACAAAGCTGCACTGCACGCAACTCCACAGCACGACACAGCAACATTCAGTCTTCAAACTGCCGCTGCACTGCACTGCTGTCTCTACCGCGTTAAAGCAACACTTCAGAGCACGACGCCACTAACATCGCTCTCTATCACGTAGCAGCACTCCAGACCATGACTTGTTCTGAGTCTGTCAATCTCAGGTCGCGACCGATGCGTCAGAAATCAGAAAAGCCTAGGGAACTGCGCTTGATTTACCTGATGCTACACTGTACTGTTGTCTCTAGTCAGTCTTGAAACTGCGGCTGCACTGCACTGCTGTCTCTACCGCGTTATAGCAGCACTTTAGAGCACGACGCCACTAACATCGCTCTCCATCACGTCGCGGCACTCCAAACCATGACTGGGACTGTTCTCAGTGTGTCAATCTCAGGTCGCGACCGATGTGTCAGAAATCAGAAAAACCTAGGGAGCAGCGCTTGATTTACCCGGTGCTACACTGTACTGTTGTCTCTACTCAATCTTCAATTGCCGCTGCACTGCACTGCTGTCTCTACCGCGTTAACAGCACTCCAGAGCGCCACACCACGTAAAACTGGATTTGCAGAGTCTCCAGCTATTCTTTGGAAGCGTGTTCTTGGCAGAAGTCTAAAAATCTCCGCTCAAAACCAGAAAATAACACCTTCAACCCTAAAAGGAGATGTTGGTTGGGAAACCCCAGATGTGTTGAGGAACCCTAAACCCTAAAAGGAGCTGAACTGAAAGAGCAACCCTGCGAAGAGTCTTGAATTGCCGCCGCACTGCTGTCTCTGCCGCGTTAGCAGCACTCCAGAGCACGACACCACGAACACTGCCCTTTACCGCGTTAGCAACTCAAAAGGTTGCAATTATGTCCTAAATCTCAAAAGGTTGATCCGATGCAATATCTTCCCAAATATGACAGCACGACGCGGCTACTTGCAAGAACGGCCGCAACAGCACAGAGAGAGGCTTGGATCTCAGGTCACGACTGATCCGTCGCAAAAAAAAATCACACCTCAAGAACGGCGCATCATTGAGCTGATGCTGCACTGCGCTGCTGTCTTCAGTCTTCAGATGCACTGCCCTGCGCTGCACTGCACTGCTGTCCCTACCATCGTTTACAGCACTCCAGAGCACATCTCAAAAGCTTGATCCGATGCAATTATGTCCTAAATCTCAAAAGGTTGATCCGATGCAATATCTTCCCAAATATGACAGCACGACGCGGCTACTTGCAAGAACGGCCGCAACAGCACAGAGAGAGGCTTGGATCTCAGGTCACGACTGATCCGTCGCAAAAAAAAATCACACCTCAAGAACGGCGCATCATTGAGCTGATGCTGCACTGCGCTGCTGTCTTCAGTCTTCAGATGCACTGCACTGCGCTGCACTGCACTGCTGTCCCTACCATCGTTTACAGCACTCCAGAGCACATCTCAAAAGCTTGATCCGATGCGATTATGTCCTAAATCTCAAAAGGTTGATCCGATGCAATATCTTCCCAAATATGACAGCACGACGCGGCTAGTTGCAAGAACGGCCGCAACAGCACAGAGAGAGGCTTGGATCTCAGGTCACGACTGATCCGTGGCAAAAAAAATCACACCTCCAGAACGGCGCATTATTGAGCTGATGCTGCACTGCGCTGCTGTCTTCAGTCTTCAGATGCACTGCACTGCGCTGCACTGCACTGCTGTCCCTACCATCGTTTACAGCACTCCAGAGCACATCTCAAAAGCTTGATCCGATGCAATTATGTCCTAAATCTCAAAAGGTTGATCCGATCCAATATCTTCCCAAATATGACAGCACGACGCGGCTACTTGCAAGAACGGCCGCAACAGCACAGAGAGAGGCTTGGATCTCAGGTCACGACTGATCCGTCGCAAAAAAAAATCACACCTCAAGAACGGCGCATCATTGAGCTGATGCTGCACTGCGCTGCTGTCTTCAGTCTTCAGATGCACTGCCCTGCGCTGCACTGCACTGCTGTCCCTACCATCGTTTACAGCACTCCAGAGCACATCTCAAAAGATTGATCCGATGCAATTATGTCCTAAATCTCAAAAGGTTGATCCGATGCAATATCTTCCCAAATATGACAGCACGACGCGGCTACTTGCAAGAACGGCCGCAACAGCACAGAGAAAGGCTTGGATCTCAGGTCACGACTGATCCGTGGCAAAAAAAATCACACCTCAAGAACGGCGCATTATTGAGCTGATGCTGCACTGCGCTGCTGTCTTCAGTCTTCAGATGCACTGCACTGCGCTGCACTGCACTGCTGTCCCTACCATCGTTTACAGCACTCCAGAGCACATCTCAAAAGCTTGATCCGATGCAATTATGTCCTAACTCTCAAAAGGTTGATCCGATGCAATATCTTCCCAAATATGACAGCACGACGCGGCTACTTGCAAGAACGGCAGCAACAGCACAGAAAGAGGCTTGGATCTCAGGTCACGACTGATCCGTCGCAAAAAAAATCACACCTCAAGAACGGCGCATTATTGAGCTGATGCTGCACTGCGCTGCTGTCTTCAGTCTTCAGATGCACTGCACTGCGCTGCACTGCACTGCTGTCCCTACCATCGTTTACAGCACTCCAGAGCACATCTCCAAAGCTTGATCCGATGCAATTATGTCCTAAATCTCAAAAGGTTGATCCGATGCAATATCTTCCCAAATATGACAGCACGACGCGGCTACTTGCAAGAACGGCAGCAACAGCACAGAAAGAGGCTTGGATCTCAGGTCACGACTGATCCGTCGCAAAAAAAATCACACCTCACGAACGGCGCAGTATTTGCTGCACTGCACTACTGTCTTCAGTCGTCAGATGCCGCTGTACTGCACTGCACTGCTGTCTCTACCATCGCTAGCAGTACTCCAGAGCACATCGCAAAAGGTTGATCCGAAGCAATAACTTCCTATTTCTCAAAAGTTTGATCCGATGCAATATCTTCCGAAATCTCAAAAGCTTGATCCGATGCAATATTTTCCTAAATAGGACAGCAGGGCTTGCAAGAACGGCCGCAACAACGCAGAGACAGGCTAGCATCTCAGGTCACGACCGATCCATCGCAGACAAAGCACACCACTGTTGAGCTCATGCTGCCGTGCACTGCTGTCTTCAGTCTTCCCCAAAGCACATTAACAATGTTCTTGCCAAAAGTCTGAACATGTTAGGACAAAGGCATCACGTCTACGACTTGTTACTTGCAAAAGAGCGAATGAAAACTTCACAGGACTACTGCCACAATCTCCGACATCATTTCAGCAAAACAAAGCAGCAATATTTTCAAGGCACGTGTCGCTGCATCTGCTTCTCTTGCAGAAAGCAGCAACAGCACAGGCGTTGAGAGTGCAGAAGAAAAGTTTGGAGTCTGCACAAACTTGTCGACTTCAGAAGAAGTCTGCAGATTATCAAGAGCATCAGCTGCGGGAGTGAGAAACGAGGGAAAAGCTTTAGAAAAAACAGTTTCTAGAAGCTTCCAGCTCCCACTCTCAGAGAACTGGTTGCCTCTTTTCTACAAGAAGCCCTAGCAAGTCTGCCTCGCTCAGCTTTCGTGCCACCGCCCGCGCTTTTTTGAGATTTTTTGTTTCGGCCTTTACCACCTTGCTCAGCTGCTTGGCTTGTACCTGGAGAGGCACACAAGGCTGTACAAGAAAGGGCCTGAGCCTCCTAAGACACACAATGCTGTGAGCCTTCGCAGCTGCCCTGGCAGCTTTTAGGGCAGCAAGGCGTTCGTTCAGCGTTTCCTGCGTAGATACGAGTGAGCAGCTGCTCCTGTGGATGCTTTTTTGGCATGGCTACCTGGGGCAGTTCCACACGGTCGGGCTCTCGTGGAAGCTCAGGTCCCGCAACCTCGGCCTCGGGCGGGGCGCTTTGTTTCAGCAGGGGTGCTGTGAAACAGTGTTGACCTGCCTCGTTGTTTGCCATGCCTTCAGCACGGTGTTTTAAGGCAGGGTTTGCTGGAGCCAAGCAGAGAACTCAGCAAGCGCCATATTAACTGCTTGATGGCCGGAGCCAAATCAGAGTGCTTGGCAGCAGCTGATACGCTAGGGGCACAAGTCGTTCCTGTACAGTTGCAATTTTTTGCGGCAGCACGTCTTCTCTGCATGCTTCAAGATGTTTAGGAAAGCACCGGCACCTCTCGCCGGGGACTGCCCACCCAGTCAGAAAAAGTCCGGGTCAAGTCGTGCCTTTTAGGCAACAACTGTGCAAATTCATCTGGAGACAAAGCTTGCTCCAGACTGGGAATTCCCGCCGGGAAC